GTTGTAGTCATCAGAAATCTGTCTATTGATAGGCTATGCCTATCAATCCACTTCACTGGGCTTAAAATCTGAGTCAGAATTGTGACAATCCTGAAGTGGTCTATGAATATAATTTGGCTTTTTTTTTGGGGGGGGGTCCAGTTGTGAGGCCTGAACTCTGGGCCTGGGAACTGTCCCTCAGCTCTTAGCTCAAAGCTAGCGCTCTACCACTTGAGCCACAAGCCACTTCCGGGTTTTTTCTTTTTGCTTATGTGGTGCTGAGGAATCGAACCCAGGGCCTCAGGCATGCAAGGCAAGCGCTCTACCACTGAACCACCTTCCCAGCCCAATTTGGCATTTTTTTAAACTCCTCCCCTCCCTGCCCCCCAGTCCTGGGGCTTGAACTCTGGGCCTGAGCACTGTGCTTGAGTTTCTTTTGCTCAAGGCTAGCACTGTACTACTTGAGCCACAGCACCACTTCCTATGATTAATTTGGAGAGTAGCATTAATTTGCTGTGAAGCTGGTCAGGTAAGATGTCTTCCTAGCAGAGAACACTGCAGTGAAAAAAAAAGTTTCACATGAAAAGTTGAGGAAAAAAACCTATTTTTCAACTTTAAAAACTGGTTACTTTTTTTGAAGGCCATGTTTCAGGTACTGTGCTTAGCACGTTGCATTATGTACTTTAATTTTCAGAGCTTCTGGAGACATAGTTGTTATTGCTTCTTTGCTGGTGTCAGGTAACTGAAATTTAGGAAGGCAGCTTAAGGCTTTAAAAAAAATCAATTAATAAGTGAGAAAAGATCTTGATATCATTTTTGACTTGTCATCTTTCTTTTGTTTTGGGGTTCTGGATATTGAACTCATGGTCTCAGGCATACTAGGTAAGTGCTCTACCACCTAGTAACATCCCTAGAAAATTCTCTAAGTTACATTGAACACATTGTCATATGCTTAAAGGACATTCGTATTTTTTTAATTGTTTGTACCTCATTCATTTTCATTTTAGAGAGAAAGCAGGTCAAAGTGAAGAACAAACTTGTCCAAGATCATAACAGGGTGGATACCAGCGGCTCATGCCTAATCCTAGCTACTACAAAGGCTGAGATATGAAGATCATAGTTCAAAGCCAGCCTAATTAGAAAAGTCTGTAAGACTCTTATCGCTAGTTAAAGCCCTCACCCCACCCCAAAGCCAGAATTGTAGCTGGGGCACAAGGGTAGAGTGCAAGCCTTGAGCAAAAAAGTTCAAGGACAGAGCACAAGCCCTTAGTTCAGGCCTTAGTTAATACCTGCAACAACAATAAAGTGTACAAGTTTCAGAGTTCAGATCTGAAGTTGGGTAGTGACACCTGTACTTGGGTAGCAAGGACACCCGTACCAGGTTATCAATCTATTGCTTCTCAGCTCTCAATTCATCTTTTCTGCCTGCTCTTTGAAAAAGGATCTGGAATGCTACTTATTTTTTTCTTTGCTGCTTGCATTGAAGCTTTGGCAGTAGAGGGCACAGGAGAGTCACTCCAGAAAGAGAGAAGGGTTTTACTTCCGGGTGGTGCAAGTGGCTTTACAGACACCCAACTGGAGCCAGCAACTTCCCAGGTAGGCTCCCTTGGGGGCAAATCTGTAGAGAAATGATTCTACTGAGGCCCTGCCCAGAGAACAGCTTTCTCTGGCACCCTGGTGAGTTGGATTTTTGAGGAAAGATTTCCAGCAAGTTCTAGGATGGGTGGAGCCCCATACAGAATAAGTGTGCTCTCAGCTGAGTAGTTGGATTTTCCTTAGATGCTGTATATAGGTAAAAGAGGAGTGGTCATTTCTTGTATTATAGTCTTTAGGAATTTTTAAAAATGAAGAGTTCTGAGAGATAACTCAAAGACTTTTCTTCCTTCCCCAGACCTGAGATCTAGACATTGTGGGTGAGGGGAAGACAGTGGTAGGAAAGTCACTACTGTAGTGCTACACATAACAGAACTCACTGGAAATGTTTGCTTTGGAACTTGCCATTGTATTTGGAGCTAAGAAGCAAGAATGGTAGCTATTACCAGCCTAGGATTCGGGTTGTCCTATTAACATTTTTTTTCACATAGCAAAAAGTTTAGCAGAAGTAAAATAGCATGCATGAAGTATTTCATAAAAGATACAAATGTTAACATAGGATTAAAAGTGAATTGGCTTGAAGGATACCTTTATTGACTTTTCTCAGGCTCTAGTCCACTTGAAGTTTTCTCTGTTTCCTCTCTGCTGTGTCATTATCTGAAAACAGTCACTTGATAGCTGACAAGGTAGCCTCTTTCTCACCTCCCAGCAGCTAGGCAACTCCATCTATTTTCTCATTTAGTCTTCTCAGGGACTTTCCAAAAGGCCTCAGCATCTTCATTTTCCAGCTTTACTGGGGTACAATTTATATTCAGTAAAATTCCTACTTTATGTATACTATTGAATGAAATTTGGTAATTTTTCAGTCTTGTAACCACTAGCACAATGAAGAAAATTTTAACAAGTATCAGTTGATTCCAGGTCAGGATGAAAGAAAACTAGTGTATTTGTGTTCTTTTTAGCATGGGAGGGGCATTAGTGATAGGGTTAGTTAGTATTAGTTTTCTAGTTCAGGTTAGGGGTAGTGTTAGGGAAGGATAAACTTTTAAAGGAAAACTGAATTTTCTGCTAACAATTAGAAGTAAAATACACGTGAAATTTAAAGGATAATGACAGTATTTTCCTTAATTAGACTCAGACCATTAGGGCTGGATTTTTGATTCGGTTTAGGGGTAGGGTAAAGATTAGAAGAAAACAGATAAGAATTTGGTAAAACTGCACCTTGTTTTAACAAGTATCAGTTGATTCCAGATCAGGATGAAAGAAAACTTGTGTGTTTGTGTTCTTTTTAGTATTCAAAGGTCATTAAGGTTAGGGCTGTGGTTAGTTTTCTAGTTTGGGTTAGGGTTAGGGCTAGGGAAAGGTAAACTCTAGAATAAAACTGAGGTTTCTACTCACAATTGGTAAAGTACACATGATATTTAAAAGAAATGACAATATTTTCCTTACTTTTCCTCTTCTGGATCATTAGAGTTAGGTTTCTGATTTGGTTTATGTAAGGTTCGCTCCTGGATGGCTAACAGACTCCACCCTCCTCGCAGCAAAGTCTCCACCCAGTACCTGCGTTACCTAGGCAACTGGGACACCTGGAAGAGGTCACATCTGCATCCGCTGAGGTCACATCTGAATTTGATGTGGCCACACCTTTCCCCGCCCATACCCTAGATAAGGGCTAGCCCAGGACCAGACTCTTTCTCTCTCTGTTCGTTTCTAGCTCTCTGCTCTCTCTGTTCTATTCTAGCTCTCTTTGTTCTTACCTCTGCTCTCTCTGTTCTATTCTAGCTCTCTCTGCTCTTTTCTAGCTCTTTTCTCTCTTTGCCAGCTCTCTCTCTTTCCCTGCCACGTGGAGTGCCAACCTTGCCTGGTCCCAGCAGGTCTACTGAATAAACCTACCCCTTACCTGAATACCACGTGAGTGCTACTGTTCTTACCCCTCTCTCTGCTCTTTTCTAGCTCTTTCCTCTCTTTCCCAGCTCTCTCTCATTCCCAGGCCTTTCCCAGCCACGTGGAGTGCCAACCTTGCCTGGTCCCATCAGGTCTACTGAATAAACCTACCCCTTACCTGAATACCATGTGAGTGCTGGTGCAGTTCTTACTCGGCTACCTCTTTTTAAAAACCTAACAGTTTAGGAGTTAGGTTAGAAATAAGGGAAGAGGGGCTGGGAAGGTGGCTCAGTGGTAGAGAGCTTGCCTTGCATGCCTGAGGCCCTGGGTTCGATTCCTCAGCACCACATAAGCAAAAAGAAAAAAGCCGGAAGTGGCGCTGTGGCTCAAGTGGTAGAGCGCTAGCCTTGAGCTGAAGAGCTGAGGGCCCAGGCCCAGGACAGGGCCCAGGCCCAGAGTTCAGGCCCCATGACTGGACCCCCCCCCCCCCAAAAAAAAGGGAAGATATTTGGCAAGTATTGGACAATGTACATTTCAACCCAAGCTTATTGAAGACCTTTGTTAAAGGTTCAATGTAGTTTTAATAACATTATCCCATTCCATCAAAGGGAAGACATTACTAATTGAAAGAGGAGTTTTATTCTCAGCACTTATAATAGGTGCTCTGCGTTTTTGTTTTAACTTGAGGCTTGAACTTAGGGTCTGGGTGTCTCTTAGCTTTTTCCACTCAAGACTAGTACTCTACCAATTAAGCTGTGCCTCCACTTCCAGCCCTTTTGGTGGTTACTTGGAGATAAGAGTCTTATAAGTTTTCCTGCCCTGGCTGGCTTCAAACTGTGATCCTCATATCTCAGTGTCCTGAGTAGCTAGGATTACAGGTGTCAGCCACTGGGTGCTGTTTTGTTCGTTTTAGGCTCTCAGTGAATATTTGAAAGATTATTTGAAAATGAATTGTCTTACCTCACCACAAATGCAAAAAAGCCAAATATAAATGCTTTTTTGTACGACTTAAGAGGCCACACAATTTATTTTTTATTTATTTATTTTTTGGGTCCGGTCGTGGGGCCTGAACTCTGGGCCTGGGCGCTGTCCCTCAGCTCTTCAGCTCAAGGCTAGCAGTCTACCACTTGAGCCACAGCGCCACTTCCGGCTTTTTTCTTATGTGGTGCTGAGGAATCGAACCCAGGGCCTCGAGCATGCAAGGCATGCGCTCTTCCACTGAGCCATCTTCCCAGCCCCAACGCCACACAATTTAATCGTGCACTACAGGCAGGAGTACGATTACATTTCGTCCCTCTCTTATATAAATCAAATGGGGCCAGGTCCTTGGCTAGCTCTGCATCCCAAAAGGAAGTTCGGAGAGCAGGGTCGGAGGAATAGGCCAGAGGTCATATTCCCTGCAGCCAGGCCAACGTCTAGGTGTTTCTGCTCAGGTACCCTACCCGCCAACGCCCACTGCGCAGGCGCAGGGAGGGGCGTGGCGGAAACGGGCGGAGACCAGAGGTAAACCGCGGGAGTCCGGTGGCTCCGCCCCGCACACCGCGTCACCAGATCACGTGGTCGCCTGGGAGCGGACGGGTCGCTTTCGCCCTGGACTAGCTCCAGAAGCTGCGGAGTCCAACGCAGGTCGCCTGTGGGGTCCTGTACCGGGGGTCGCTGCCACAGCTACCAGCGTTCGCTCCGAAGCCGAGCGTTTCTCACCCGGTAAGTAGAGAGGATGGCAGGAAGTGGGGTCTCCAGAGCCTCCGGGGTACGGGCCCCTCGTAGTCCGCTGTCGGCGCCTGCCAGCCAGGAGCAGAGTACACGTTCCGACAGGCTCGGGATTCTGCCGGGGTAAGGGTGAGGGGGATGCGGAGCAGTTTGCAGCACTTGGGCGGGGAAGAGAGCGAGGAAGTCGGCCGGCCGGCTCCGGTCGGGTCGGGTCGGGTCGGGTTGGCGGGGTCGGTTTTGGCGCGCTCTGGCTTTCGCGCTTCCCATTGGCTGGCGGGCGACGTCGCGCGGCGCACGTCGGCCCGAGGCTCCCGCCGCCAGTTGGTGGGCTGGGCGCTGCTGGCCCTGGGGACGTCGGTCGGGTCCGAGGGCCGCTTAGCCTGGACCTCCCATCCCGGCCGTGGCGTTGAGGCAAAACCAGATCCGCAGAGGTCCGCAGATTTAGCTGCTCAGACCAGGTCTCTCCTTCTATTAAAATAACGGTGTCAGATTTCGTGAGGGCTTTATTTCTAGTCGTTAGACGAGAACCAGAAGGGACTGGGAACGTGGCTCAAGTGGTAGAGTGCTGGCCTTGAGCAAAAGCAGCAAAGAAGGAGAAAAGAACGAGAAGATAAAAAGCAAATGAGGCTGCACGGTTGCTGTCAGGAGTACGGTAAACACGAAGGGTTAAACTTCCTCAGTGATTTTTTTTTCCCCCCACTTTTTTTTTTTAAAGCACCCTGTGGCATTTTAGCGCTTTGCCATCTAACCCAGAAGTTTCCCTACAGTATGTTTTCCTCTTTCAGTTGCATTCTGTTTAGCTGTCGCTTTTCAAGAAATGTTGCTCGTGACCCAGTAAATAATTTTATAGTGTAATGTAGGCCATGACCTGTTGGAGCCTAGTGAGATAGAAAATAAAGTAGCACCACACATGCATTGTTGCATACCTATGAATACCTGTGTGTGTATGTGTGCGCGCGCTTGGACACTGCTAAAATATGGGTCATAGTTTGAAAACTGCTGCACAGAGTAAAAGTACAATTATTATTAGAGGGTCAGTTTTGATTGAGGGTGTTTTGGTTAATTACTCCCCTTATCTTCTACATACCTCTTACTTTCTGTTCCCTTATTAGTCATTCTTTCATGTTATTCTGGTGGTTAAACATTCCCTATAAAAGTCAGTGCCTAAGCTGGTGCCAGTGGCTCACACCTGTAATTCCTAGCTACTCAGGAGACAGATCCAAGGATTGCTGCTCAAAGCCAGCCTGGGCAGAAAAGTCCGCTGAGACTCTTTCCTCACTTAACACCCCCCCCCCCCAAAAAAAAAAAATAAGACAGAAGTAGAACTTTGAAGTTGTAGAGCACTAGCCTTGAGCAAAAAGTTCAGGGACCACACCCAGTGCCCTCAATTCAGGCCACAGCACACACAAAAAAAGTGCCTATTCTCAGCTGACTGAATACTAAATCATTGTTAATGCCACTTCCAATTTTATTATTGAAACATTCAAGTTAGGATATTGTTTGTTGTGCTGAGGATTGAAGCTAGAGGTCTTGTGTAGACTAGCCTAGGGTTGTACCACTGGGTTACATTCCAGCTTTTTGAGACAGGGCTTTGAAATTGCTATTTAACACAGTCTAACCTCCAACTTAAAATCCTCTTGCCTTTGCCTCCCAAGTGCTAGGATTGTTGTTGTACACCACCATGGTTGGAAGAATGCTATTTTTTTTTTTTTCCTGGTTATGGGGTCTGAACTCTGGCCTGGGAGCTGTCTCTCAGCTCTTCAGGTCAAGGCTAGCGCTCTACCACTTGAGCCATAGTGCCACTTCCTGCTTTTTCTGCTTATGTGGTACTGAGGAATTGAACCCAGGGCCTCATGTGTGCAAGGCAAGCACTCTACCACTGAGCCACCTTCTCAGCTCAAGAATGCTATTCTTTTTTTTTTTGGGGGGGTCTGGTCCTGGGGCCTGAACTCTGGGCCTGGGCGCTGTCCCTCAGCTCTTCAGCTCAAGGCTAGCGCTCTACCACTTGAGCCACAGCGCCACTTCCAGCTTTTTTCTTTTTGCTTATGTGGTGCTGAGGAATCGAACCCAGGGTCTCAGGCATGCAAGGCAAGCGCTCTACCACAGCCACCTTCCCAGCCCCAAGAATGCTATTCTTTAGAATGCATTTGAGCACACCCAAATAGCAGTACTTTGTTTTCTCTGGTGTCCAGTTCATAGCTCCTTTTACTTTCTATTTAATGCAAGACGCTATCTTGATATTACACCATATAGTAGTATCAGGTTTATGATTCTGATACTGTAAATGAAAAAAAGAATCTACATTCTACCTTCTGGTGCCAACCATATTGGTTTTTTACTTAATAATCTTTTGTGCTTCTCTAGCTATATAATGAATTCCAATATGAAGCAGAAAGAGGAGATCGAGGAGAATGTCAAGGTATGTAATATAATCCTGTTATATGTTGTAGAAAGCATGTGATTGAAAGTTTTCGGTTTTCTTTAAAATTTTTGATTTTTAAGAGATGGGGCCTCACTGTGTTTCTAGGACAGCCCTAAACCCTTGAGCTCAAGCCAGTCTCCTGCCTCAGCCTCCTGAGTAGGTGGTACTGTAAATTTGAAAGTATTTTTGACATTTTAACCTGGCTGTAATTTCTTTCTTTCTTTTTCTTTTCTTTTCTTTTTTTTTTTTTTTTGGTCCAGTTGTGGGGCCTGAACTCTGGGCCTAGGCGCTGTCCCTCAGCTCTTCAGCTAGCACTCTACCACTTGAGCCACAGTGCCACTTCCAGCTTTTTTTTTTTTTTTCTGCTTATGTGGTGCTGAGGAATCAAACCCAGGGCCTCATGCATGCAAGGCAAGCGCTCTACCACTGAGCCAACTTCCCAGCCCCTGGCTGTAATTTTTGTGAACCTTAAATTCACTTTTTTTTATGCTGTTATAAATGGAGTTGTTTCCTTAAATTTCATTGTTTAGTTATTGGTGCCATATCAAAACACAACTAATTTTTAGATCTTGATCTTGTGTCCAGTAATCTTCCTAAAGTTACTTAAATAGTTATAGGGTATTCCATGAACAGGATTGTTACTGCTTTATGTTTACTTTACTTTTACATTTCATGAAATGATGTTATTAAAATCCTTTGTGGCTGGGCATATGTGATACACACGTGTAATCTCAGCATTTGGGAGGCCATTGCAGAGGGGGATCATGAGTTCAAGGCCAGTAAGATGAGACCCCATATCAAAAAAGCTTTTTTTTTTTTTTTTTTAAATAAAGCCTATTTAATGTTTACTGGCAACTATAGAGCCATCTCAGATATAAAGGAACTTGTATTCTGTTTGATAGGGTTATTAAGATATCAACCTCAGTTTACTCATCTGTAAACTAAGTGAAATTAGCAGTGCTAGATTTGTAAGAGTGAATTTTAATTCAAGTTTTATAGATTCCTTGCCAATAATATATACAGTTCTTTGGAAGAATATTTGTGTGTATTTGGGGAGGAGAAATTTCGCAGAATTTCAATTTTCTAAAAAGATTGACTCATAGACTCATAAATATGCAAATGAAACTTTCTGATTCTAGAAGTATATTCCAGTGCATAATCTGTATGCAGAAAATAGAGTAGGTAATGTTGCCTTCCTTGTACCATATTTTGTAAAGCTTAGATGTCATAAAAGTTAAATCTTGGGATTTTTTTTGTTTTTTGGGGGGGTCATGGGGCTTGAACCTCTGGTCCTGGGCGCTGTCCCTCATCTCTTCAGCTCAAAGTTAGTGCTCTACCACTTGAGCCACAATGCCACATCCGGTTTTCTGGTGGTTAATTGGAGATAAGAGTCTTATAGCCTTTTCCTGTCTGGTCTGTCTTTGAACTATGATCAGCAGATCTCAGCCTCCCGAGTAGCTAGGATTACAGGTGTGAGCTACCAGTGTCTGGCAGGAATTTTTTTTTTTTTTTGTATTGTTTTTTTTTTTTTTTTTTCCAGTCCTGGGGCTTAAACTATGGGTCTGGGCGCTGTCCTTCAGCTCTTCAGCTCAAAGCAAGTGCTCTATCACTTGAGCCACAAATGCCACTTCTGGCTTTTTCTGCTTATGTGGTGCTGAGGAATTGAACCCAGGGCCTCATGCATGCAAGGCAAGCACTCTACCATTGAGCCACCTTCCCAGCCCCAGGATTTTTTTTTGTTTGTTTGTTTTGTTTTGTTTTTTGGGTCCGGTTGTGGGGCCTGAACTCTGGGCCTGGGCGCTGTCCTTCAGCTCTTCAGCTCAAAGCTAGCACTCTACCACTTGAGCCACAGTGCCACTTCTGTTTTTTTTCTTTTTTTGCTTATGTGGTACTGAGGAATTGAACCCAGGGCCTCAGGCATGCAAGGCAAGCACTCTACCACTGAGCCACCATCCCAGCCCAGGATTTTTTTTTTTAAATGACAGTGTCTTATCTGGATCTTTTGACCATAACTAACATCAAGCATTTAAGGAAATGAGCATCTCCTGTACTAAAGTTCCAAAATTACATTTTCTTTGTCTGGAGACTATAATCTAAATTATATCTGAAATATTGTTGTAATATTTGTTCTCACAGTTAAATAGTGAGATAATAATCAGAGTAGAAACTTTACCGTGGGAAAGGTGAACTTTGTCTTGTGAAGTATCATGTAGAATCAGTAACTTTCTCACGCTGGTATGGTATCATGTTCTTGCTAACCTTGTTTGAGTATTCACCATTGTTTGCTATCCCATGGTGGCAGTCTAACTAATGATTTTTTGCAAAAATAGAGCTTTCAGATCAGGAAATATACAGAGGCTATTTACATATTATAAGGAAGGCAGTATTTTTTTTCCAAAACAATAGCTTGGGCATTTTCAAGTATTTTAGTATGCCTTAACCACTGTCAGTTTTATCAATCTTCTAGTGAATAGGCTTGAAACAAATCTGCTTCTATAATCGTAATAAGTGTTGAGGTGGGTTGGCTGTTATATATGTACTTGATTTTATGTATAGTATGTCCTTAAAAATATATTTCTTTTGTGAATATATACCAATGTTGTGTGTTATTCACTACTTACAGGTGGTCTGAGATGAATTCTTTAGGAAGAAATACTTTATTTGGGGCTGGGAAGGTGGCTCAGTGGTAGAGTGCTTGCCTCACATGCATGAGGCCTTGAGTTCCATTCCTTAGTACCACATAAGCAGAAAAAGCCGGAAGTGGCACTGTGGCTCAAGTGGTAGAGGGCTAGCCTTGAGCTGAAGAGCTGAGGGTAGCGCCCAGGCCCTGAGTTCAGGCCCCATGGCCGACAAAAAAAAAAATACTGTGTTATAAATAGAGCCCCCTAATTAACCATTTTTATGAGATCATACTATAAATGTTTTGAGGTTTTCTTGTATAAAAATAGGGTATAAGTTTCTAATTTGTATGGAAAATACATTTTTTAAGTTTCACTAGAGTTTTGTCACATATAGTTGAGACTGTTACTAAGGACAGAAATTGTGTGTTTTAATTAGTTAATGATTAGCTGTCAATGGTTATGGTACACATTGAAATGAGTGATTTATATCTAGTTTGGGTAATAAACATTCTTAAGAATTTCTTCAAATTTTATCATACTCTTAGGATATACGTTAGTGAGTAGTTGATTAAACTAGTGTGTTCAGATTAGCATTATAAAATTACATTGCAGGCCTATTCTTATTGAATTTTCCCCCCAATTACCGTAGGACTAAGTCTAGTCAAATAGAGATTTAGTAACTAAAAAACCATAGAAACTAAGTAACCAGGTAATGAACTATCTTGACTTTTAGAATAGTCCCTTCTCAAGAAGAACTCTGAAGATGATTCAGCCGTCTGCAGCTGGACCTCTTGTTGGAAGAGAAAATGAGGTATGAATTATAGAGCCAGGCTGGATTAACAGGCAATACTACCAATACATTGAAAACATTTCCAAGCCAGGTGCCAGTGTCTCAAACCTGTAATCCTAGCTACTCAGGAGGCTGAGATCTGAGGGTCACAGTTCAAAGCCAGCCTGGGCTTATCTTCAGTTAACCACCAGAAAACTGGAAGTGGCACTGTGGCTCGAGTGGTAGAGTGCTCTGGTTGAGCTGAAGAGCTGAGGGATAGTGCCCAGGCACAGAGTTCAAATCTCACTATTGACAAAACTGACAAAACAAACAAAATTTCCAAGATTCTTTTAATCTGAAATATCTTAAGTTGTAGAAATGTGGAAATAATGTAACAATATCTTTCCCCGAGAATTTGTATGTTTTCATTTTTGTGAGTTTTGTTTAATTTCTCAATTTGGGAAGTTCAGGATTGCTAATGATACCTTTTATAGTACTAGGATGATGTAATAAGTTATGAGTCACTTTAGGAGAGTAATGTTTGGTATTTTGAGAATAAATAGATTATTGTTTTACCCCTGTATATAAATGAAGAAATCATGGGTGAGCATATTGGGAATACTGTCTTTCCCTGGTACTGAATTTAAATGTGACATTAAACAGTAAAAAAAAAAATTTCAGTTGGGCCTTATACCAAATTGATTCCAAAATAGCTGTTCCAAATAACATTCCTAAACCATCACTACCTTTTTTTGGTAGTTTTGTAAAAAGCTATTTCGATATATGACAAAATTACCTAGTTTTTTTATTTTGCTCATTAAATCAAAGTAACCAGATGTTCCCATTATAGTTACCTAAAGACTTATCCAAAAAGAAACACTGGAATGACCAGTTAACATCTAAGACTTCCAGCTCCAGAGTCCCAGAATCTAGTGAAAATAAAAACACTGAAGGAGCCACTCAAGAAGCATTTGATCTTATGATTAAAGGTATGAAAAAATTACCAATTTTAAATTGTGCTATAATTAAATGTCATAAATGTTATTTATCAATATTGTATGAATCCTTCCCCAGCCTCTCAATCTCAGAATACTATGAGATACTGGACTTCCATGCTTTTGTTTATTTATTGGTTTGAATTCTGGGCCTTGTGCTTGCTAGACAGGCACTATTACTGATGAGCCTTAACTGTAGCCTTGTTTTCTGTCGTGTTTTTCTTTTTTTCCTTTGTCAGTACAGGGGTTGAACTCAGGGCCTGGGAGGTGGTCCCTTAGCTTTTTCACTCAAGGCTGGTGCTCTCTACCCCTTGAGCCACAGCTCCACAGCTGGCTTTTTGCTACTTACTTGCAGATAAGGGTCTCAAAGCTAGGATTATAGGCATGAGTCACAGGTGTGTTGCCTTTTTTTTTTTGGAGACAATCTTGCTGTGCCTAGGCTGGGCTTTTGAAATATCATTTCTCCTGCCTCAGTGCCCTGAATGCCGGGATTACAGGCATATTTACGATCACTCCAGGGTTATAGCAATTTTTAAAGGTTAATATAACATTTATTTCAGAAAATCCATCCTCTCAATATTGGAAAGAAGTGGCAGAAAAACGGAGGAAAGCTCTCTATGAAGCACTTAAGGAAAATGAGAAAGTATGTACTATATTAATTTTTCTAATATTTAAAGAAATTCTAGTATTCTACTTTTGTTGCATTAATAGCATAGCTAGACCAATAAACTAACTTTTATATTAGACTAAGAAAGGTTTGACAAGAAAGTCAACTGTTACTAAATTACCATACAAAATCCTATTATGTTAGAGCTAACTTTATGCAACATGTGTTTGTCAATTATGCACTTGGAGGCATATAATTTGATTAAAGCATAGCATATCTATGAAATAGTGAATTTTATTTGTATTACATAGCTTCATAAAGAAATTGAACAAAAGGACAATGAAATTGCCCGCCTGAAAAAGGAGAATAAAGAATTGGCGGAAGTAGCAGAACACGTACAGTATATGGCAGAGGTAATAGAGGTAGGTAATTTCATGTTTACTTAATTCAGATGCATGTGTTTTCCTACAAAACTGAAGCAGTAGTGTGATCTAGTAGGCGTTTGGGCTCTGTAGTCAGATTTTCTAGGTTTGAGTCTTTGCTCTTGAATCGAGTTGGATTCATTTTCCTTAGCCAGAAAATGGTAGTGACAATGCGTACATATGAAAAAGTTAAGGAAGATTATTATATTTCATAGTGTGTGACATTGCTGTCATATATAAAGCTGTTTATTAGTACTCTAATGGAATTTGGCAGTTATAACTGACTTTCAAACATTGGAAGTAGCTAAAGTTGGCCTGGGCCCTGAAATCCTACCTACTTAGGAGGATGAGATCTGAGAATCACAGTTTGAAGCCAGCCTGGACAGGAAAGTCCTCATGAGACTTTTTATTTCCAATTAACCACTCAAAAACTGGAAGTGGCACTGTGCAAAATTGCTCAGAGACAGCACCCAAGTCCTGAGTTCAAGCCCCATGACCAGGAGGGGGAAAAAAAAAACAAAAAACAAACCTTGGAAGTAGCTAATGTGTTTGTGAAAATTATCCTGATGACTGTGATTTTACCAGGATTGACCTGAAACAGGTTTAAAACTTAACTCATGTTTGGAAAAGAAAACTGATGGGAAGTTTTAAAATCAAAACTTCTGTGTTGAATTGTAGTATATTTTACAGTTGTGACAAAACATTAAATTTTAAAGTGCTGTAGTAGCCGGGCACTGGTGGCTCACGCCTGTAATCCTAGCTACTCAGGAGGCTGAGATCTGAGGATCGTGGTTCATAGCCAGCCCGGGCAGGAGAGACCGTGAGACTCCTATCTCCAATAAACCACCAGAAAACTGGAAGTGGCGCAGTAGCTCAAGTGGTAGAGCACTCGCCTTGAGCTGAAGAGCTGAGGGACAGTGCCCAGGCCCAGAGTTCAAGCCCCACGACCTACCAAAAAAAAGGTGCTGTAGTATAGTAGCTCTCCTAAGTGTCTTAAAATTTTTTTCTGCAGCTGATTAAAATGTAGATAAGAATCCAATGTGTAGCCTACAAAATTAAGAGGAGTAAGGGAAAGTAGTGGATAGGAGAGGGATGAGTGAGAAGAATGTTGACAGGAGTGACCGATCAAGCTATAGTCATAAACTGCTTTGTTAAATGACAATACCTTTGTTCAACTACTTAAAGATAATAAAAGAGGTTGGAGGTGTGGCTCAGTTGGTAGAGTACCAGCCAATGAGCAGAGTCAGGTATCAAGTCTGAGTCCCGATGTCACATAAAATATAATAATTGAAAAAATTGAAAAAAATTAAGAGCATCAAGTTCTCATTTCAATTTTCTAGAGAAAGATCATTTGGGCTTTGAAATCAGTTCTATGCTTTAAAGAATTGAGAAAGTATTAAGCATTGATTTGACGTATGTAATCTAGCATGATGGAGATTTTGATATAACTTACTGCTTAAAAGTGAATTTGGAGGCAAGAGGGAAAAAATCGATTACAATATTGAGGGTCAACAGTATCAGCATACTGATAGTGGGGTTCAGGTTAAAGATTTCACAATGACTTTGGTTTATTCTTTAAAAGAGGCTGAGTAATGAACCTCTGGAGAGCTTTGAATCACCAGATAGTCAGGAGTTTGACTCTGAAGAGGAAACTGTTGAGGATTCTGAAGTGGAAAACTCAGAAGCTGGTACAGGTGCTGAAGAAACTGTATCTTCCTCTACAGATACAAAACCATGTATATGAAATTCATTAGTATTTGACTCTTAACATACTACCAAGGTTTACCTCCACTCTCATTCTTTGTAGCAGAGTAAAGAACTACATAATGCAAATGCAACCATCAAATTTCCTCATTTGGATCCTGGGACACTATTTTGTATTAAAATACAACTAGCATGTATTTTTAATCTGTTGTTTTATGTAAATAGCATTTTCATTTTCTCAGTTGTCAGAAATAACTTGTATATTTGATTAAATAAACTTGGTTTTCCTATTGCTTATTATTTGTATGTCTTGGAAGAATGAATATAAAGGGTCTTTATAGAAAATGTGGCTCACGTATGTAATCCTAGCTACTCAGGAGGCTGAGATCTGAGGATCACAGTTAGGCCAGCCTGGGCAGGAAAGTCTGTGAGACTCATATTTCCAGCAAACCACCAAAACACTGGAAGTGGCGCTGTGGCTCAAGTGGTAGAGTGCTAGCCTTGAGTTGAAGAGCTTAAGGGACAATGCCCAGGCCCAGAATTCAAGCCCCACAACCTACCAAAAGAAAAAAAAATGTGTATTTCTGTGCTGATGCATTGTTTTGCTTTCCCTTTTATTTTTTCTCTTCTGTCTTAGAGGAAACAGGAAAATGAGCTGATCCTTGTACAGATGAGAGTTGGTTGGGCCTTTTTTTAAGTCCCAAACCTGCTTGTACCTCAAGCTCACTGGAAGCACTATTACTTTTTAGATTTGTGCACAGGATTATAGGCATGAGCCACCTGTGCCCAGCCATCTATTATGTCTCACAATTATAGTCAGTACATCTTCTAGTGAATTTCTATTTCATGAACTTAACTTTGAAAAAATTTTAGCAAGGATTTTATTTTTTATTTATTTGAACAGGGTTAAAGTAGGGAGAAATGAAGATAGATTTTTCTTGCATCCCATATAGGAAATGGGAGTTGATTCTGAACTTAGTTTTTAAGAAGCACTTTTAAACTTTCAAAAGTACATTGCTTAAAGAATATGGTATTATGAGATGATATAGGTTTTTCTTATTTTTTATTTATTTTTTCCTATAGTGCTGTAGTTCAAGTGGTAGAGAGCTCCCCCTGAGCTGAGGAGCCCAGGGACAGTGCCCAGGCCCAGAGTACAAGCCCTACAACTGACAAAAGTTTCATTGTGACCTTCCCATCAGTAATGAAGTGCATGTTCTTAGTCTGCTTCAAATAGCTACTAGAAAATAGTTTTATGATTTTATGGTAAACAGTTGAGATAAACAGTCTGGATTTTATAGAATAACAGGCAAAAATTAGTATTCTAGCTCTACAGTTTTATAACCATGTATATTTCCCATTATATTTACCTGCAGGCTTTCACTTTATATAGATTTGGTTCTTGCTATGTTGCACAGGTTGGCTTTGAACTTGTGATTCTCTTGCCTCAGCCTCTAATGCAGCTAGGATTACAAGCCCGGGCTACTGCACTCTCTGTGCATAAACAAGTTAGAGGGCATGAGAGTATTATACCCATAAACAAGTTCAGAGGGCGTAGATAAGAGGTCATCTTAAACAGCAATGCTTTTTCAGATGTTTTGTTACTGCAGTTCACTAACGACATGAAAATGACAGAGCTCTTTTAACAAAAAGATGACATGGAAACAATACATTGATTTTATTGTTTGGTTCCAGGGTAATACAATCATAGAGCTGGGTCATGTAAATGGATTTAGAGGAATTAATTCCTGTGAAAACCAATTAGGAAATACAACACTTCTGCAAAATTCTCAGGCCATCCAGACCAGTTCTCGGAAGCCAACATTTGTAAATGATATTTTAGTTTAGGGCACTCTCTGAGCTCCTTCATGAGAGATAAGTTGTTACATGTCATGACAGAGAGGACATAACAAGTCCAAAATCGAACGTGGAGGTTGCTGTCTAATTCACTGTTGATAGTTGACTCAAAACTGCTTTCAAAAAAGGTAATGAGAATAGGAATAATCTGCAGGTGTTGGGCTCTTTTCTGGCTGACAGGGTCTAAGTAGCACCAACTTGCTACACTCTGGAGCAGCAGAATCTGTATTTTTGGTGCAAAGCTTTGGTTTTGCAACAAGGAAATGACTTCTTTCATGTATTCAGTTGAATATTTCGCAGCAGTTGGTCCTCCTGTAAAACAGGTATTTGCACTGCCAGAATTATTTGCTACATTTAGTAGTTAAGTCACATTTTGGAGTCTTCTGTATTTTCATATTATTTTTAATGCTGCTAGGAATTGAACCTATGGCCTTGCTATATCCCTAGATCCTATACTCCTCTTTTTGTTGTCATATAGGTGACAGATTGGATCCTCTGAAATTTCCACATGCTCTGAAGATGAAACTATTACAAGCATAGAGAGTAATATGATAAGTGTGGGAAGGTTACTGCCTAAGTCTCCTTTCCTGGTACTTTTGTGCCGGTACTAGGCCCTGAACTCAGGGCCTGGGTGCTGTCCCTTAAACTTTCTCACTCAAGCTCTGCCACTTGAGCCACAGCTCTACTTCTAACTTTTTGGTGGTTAATTGGAGATAAGAGTTGCATGGACTTTCCTACCCAGGCTAGCTTCAAACCTTGATCCTTTGATTTTTGACTCCTGATTCCTTTAATCAAGCATAGAGAAACATTTCAAGATAAAAACCTGGCTATGTTCACTTAGCAGATCTCCTTCATGATCTCTGACTAATACATTGGGGAAAAGAACAAAAAAAAAAAAACCATGGATACCAGAGCATTGGAACAAAGTAAAAGAACTGAGCCCAAAGCCAGGAGCCAGGTTTTCACTTGTTTGTAGCTATTCTGTTTTCTTTTGTTTTTGATGTTGGTCTTGGGGTATGAACTCTGGTCCTTGGTGCTGTCCCTGAGCTCTTCACCTCAAGGCAAACACTATCATTTGAGCCATAGCGCCACTTCTGGTTTTCTGGTGGTTAATTGGAAATAAGAGTCTCATGGACTTTCCTGCCAGGACTAGCTTTGAACCATGATCCTCAGATCTCAGCCTCCTGAGTAGCTAGGACTACAGGTGTGAGCCACCGGCGCCCAGCTATTCTGTTCTTATAGACATTTCTTACCCATTTCTTCCACAAATCTCAGATTAACATAAATTTACAAGGTTTTTCTTTCTTTAGCTACTGACTCAGCCTGATTCTAGATTCTACTTTCACCATACACTTGAACCCCATATCCTACTTCAATTTTGGATTACAGCAAGGTACTGGCCAAGAAGGCTCTGGATGAAGAATACTTGAATAGATGTTTTTTATTTAGACTAGGCACCAGTGGCTCATGCTGTAATCCTAGCAATTCAGGAAGCTGAGATCTGCAGATTGTGGTTTGAAGCCAGCCCTGGTTGACAAAATTGTGAGACTTTTCTCCAGTTAACCAGAAAGCCAGAAGTGGAGGCATGGTTCAGTGACAGCATGTAACCCTGAATTCAAGGCTCTGAGGTGTGGCAGTTTGAAGCTGGCCTGGCATAGGTCTCTAGTTAATCAGGAAAAGAAAAAAAAAAATCTGGATTGGAGGGATTATGCAAATGGTAGAACCACTAGCTGTTAGTGAAAAAGCTGAATGGGAGTGGTGGTTAGGTCCTGTGTTCAAGCTCCAGTGCCCCAGTGCCAGCACACACACATATAAAATATAAGGTACATTTATTATGCACTGGAATCATATCACTATTAAAGTCAACTCCAATTATAGACTGATTTTTATGTTAATAAAAGCATTTACTTATTGTTTTGAGGTAGTGTTTCACCATCTTGCCCAGGCTAGCCTTGAACTCCTGAGCTTAAGCAGTCCTCCCACCTTGGCCTCCCAAATAGCTGGAACTGTGTCACTGTTCCTGCCAATAAAAACTTTGATAGGCAAATTCAGTAAATACATATAATAAAAATGAATATTCTGATTAGTATTTGATAGGTATATTTTAAAAACAGTATCTTGTAGTTACAAGTACAAGCTAGTAAATCAAAGGAAATGTTACTAGAGTCTTAATCATCAAATTCAGTGTTTCAACATGTGCAGATTATGAAACAGCTATCTTAGCATAATGATACCTGTGAATGCCAATATTCCAATTTTCTGGGCTGCTTTAGCTCTCTCTTCAATGGGTAGAGCATTGTTCTTCAATATACGGCCAAGTACTGTAATTTTTTCTTTATGAAAAATGCCATCACCTGTAAAAACGTATTCTTCATTCTCCCTCACAATACATTTCTTAATGTTACTCCAGAATTTTTGAAAGCGCTGACGTAGCCCTGCAAAACAATTGTTCATCCGAGCCCAATAGCTCATATTTACTGTGCAGAAAGGCCTGAAGTACTTCAGGGACCCACAGGCATTGACAATCTCACAGCCAAGAACTCTGGAATGGATTGCTTGGCAACACTAGAATGGAATAATACAAGTCCAGAGAAAATAGCATGCGCCTAAATTCCTAAACCTTACCTCAAACTTATTTTCCCTAATATACACCAGACTCATTCCTGTCTTCATGTTTGCTTATGTAGGGGTTTATTTTGAACTTGCTCCATTCTTTGGCTATCCTAACAAGTACTGAGCTGATTTTCACTGTTTTTTTTTTTTTTTTGTCCCAGGACTTGAACACATAGTTCAAGGAATTGAACTCTCACTTGGCTTTAGTACTTTTATCTCTTGAGCCACACATTCATTCTAGCTGGTGTTTCCTTGTCCTCTTCCTCCTTTTATCAATTTATTATCTTCATTTATAGATGGAAGAATTTCAAGATAAACTCAGGTGAAGGATGTTGTGTAAGTAACCAATTCAGAAAGGACACGCATGAGATACATCAAACTGCATGAGACTAGTAATTAAAAAATAATTTTTATTTTAACTTTATGATTGGAAGAATGATGAATACAAATGTCACAAAACTAAAAGCACCCTCAACCAAAAGTAAAATAAGGTACAAAAGATAATGGAATTAATTACTCATGCAATATTCAAAAAAATTAAAAACCCAGGAACAAAGCCATGTAATATCTGTGATTTGACTTTATAAAAAGCACTCCAATCATTTAATGTAAGACTGTTAACAACAATACTAACTATAGACTGTACAATGCTCCTTTAAAGTGATGAATATATGCATATGTAATATTTATAAATTTACAAATAATGTACATTAGAACTTCACAGTCAAGAACTTTTTTTTTTTTTTTTTGCCAGAAGCCTGGCAAACAATTTTCACTTCAAAGTGGTATCAATCCTTTTTTAAAAGTCTTGCTAAAATGAAAATATTGAAAATAACATCTAAGTGAGACTTTCTATACACACATCCAGCATACATGATATTCCACAGTTTACACTTATTTATGTTGTTTTTGATACCTTGGCATACCCCATCTTTTAGAGGAAGAAACGAGCTACTGAATGGTCTTGTACTTTTTTGAATGGACCTGCTATCTTGCTACCGAAGCAATAAATGAGTGCTGCTCTTTTAACTCTGGCCAGAGAATCTCAACTGCAGTTGAATGGCTTCTCTAGGGACAGTTTCCAGGACACCCTTCTCAGTCTCATGGCCATTTGGACAGAAGCAGAAACCCTGTTTCCATGCCTCTTCATCCCTATCCATCCCATTAGGATTCCTCCAACGTTCAGATTTCTACTTCAAGACTATCACAGATGTCTAAATCCATGGCTTTTTATTTGTCTTAGCAGCAAAGTACCTATATGTAAGAGTATCATAAAAATGGCTTTTGTGAAATACTTTTTAAAAATTTAAGCATAAAGCTGGGCACTGGTGGCACACACCTATAATTTTCACTACTCAGGAGGCTGAGATCTGAGGATCACAGTTCAAAGCCAGTTTGGGCAGGAAAGTTTGTGAGACACTTATCTCCAACTACCTACCAGAAAACCAGAAGTGGCTCAGTGGCTCAAAGTGGTAAGAGTGCTAGCTTTGAAGAGAAGAGTTTAGGATAGCGCTCAAGCCTCAAGTTCAAGCCCCATGACTGATTAAAAAAAAAAAAGTTTAAGTTTTAGTTTTGGGAGCCTTGCATAGTGGCACACATTTCTAGCACTCACAGGACCGAGGAAAGAGGATTGTGCATTTGAGGCTAGCCTACCTACAGAGACAGTCTCGAAGATGTAGATTCCATCTGAAAAAAAGTTTTTCATTACTATTTTTCCTTTTTTTTTTTTTTTTTTTTAAGCATAATGGAAAGATTACTAGGGAATTTTTAGGGATGGGAGGCAAAAAGTAGTGGAGCTTACACAAGTAAAAATTAAAAAAAATTACTCTTAACAATGGTTTATCTTGCTGAGATTGCAGACAAACTTGAAGAAATTCTTTCTTTGTGCTTTGTATTTAAAGAGAAATTAAGTAGCTAAAAGGGCACTCAACCCTGGAAACACAACAGAGAAGACCTGCAAGGAATATGACATTTATTGAAATCTCACATGATGGTTTTCAAACTTAAGTGTAGTACTTCCCCCAAATGTACAAAGATGGCTATTTTCAAATTCCAATTGTATTCAGACACAAACTAGATTTAAGTACTGTCAGACAATAATGATATCATCTACTTTATTATACATAGCCCTGTGCTAATGGCCAAAGAGAAAAAACAGGTACTGTGGAACTGGACTGAATTCTTTCTATAACACATCACATTTCCAGACCAACTCAGCAGAACATGAGGTTCTAGTTACAGTCCAGCAAAACCACACCGCCTTCAAAACAAAAAGGGCTAGAAATTTGGACAGTGGTTATATGGTGTTAACGTGTAATTAAAAGGCTGTGGCAACTTCAGTTCCATGACGACCTCCAACTTTAACACAGTCTCGAGGAAATCTGTCCAGCTGTTCATATGCCAGTCGCCCATCTTCTCCTGGAATACAGCATTAATTAGGAATACTACTTCAAACTTTTAAACATTTTTATTTATCATGCAAAATAAATTTATATCAATGGCATCCATATGAATTGCTACTTCAGTGGTTTTTCTTTTTTCTTTTTTGTCTTTTTTGGTACTGGGGACTGAACTTAGAACCTTGTATTGGCTAGGCAAGCACTTTGCTGCTGAGCTACATCCCAGCCCTGGTTTTTCATGGTGCCTAGGAATCAACCCAGGGCTTGGGTAAGCTAGGCTAGCACCTATTACTGAGCTATATTCCAAAACCTGCATTGCTATTATAAGCATTTGCTCTGTTTAAGAAAAGCCATCCTGTATTATTATTATTTCCATTATTAGTTTTGGTGCCAGTACTGCGGCTTGAACTCAGGGCCTGGGTGCTATGCTTTGGCTTTTTGCTCAAGGGTACAGCTTTATCACTTGCCACAGCTCCACTTCTGGCTTTTTTGTGTTTAATTGGAGATATCAGTCTCATGTACTTTTCTGCCTGGGCTGGCTTGAGATGCTCAGATCTCAGCCTCCTGAGTAGGTCAGATTGGCTGGTGACATGAACCACCAGCACCCGGCCATCCTGTATTATGCTAATCATGTTATTGATTCCTAGACAATATTTAGAACACCAAGAACCTCAGAGCTAAGACCAGAGATCAAAAGAATGCCAAGTTATGTAACAAAGTAGAAGTCATCTGATGCTGGTAATTTATATATCTAGATTATATTTTAAGTGCATTTGGGATTTCAATATGGCTTATTTCCCCCCCCCCCTCCCCCATTGTAGGGCTTGAACTTTGGGCCTGGGCGCTATCTCTGAGCTCTTCAACTCAAGACTAGCCCTCTACCACTTGAGCCACAGTACCATTTCTGGTTTTCTGGTGGTGAATTGGAGATTAAGAGTCTCATGGACTTTCCTGCCCGGGCTGGCTTTGACCTGTGATCCTCAGATCTCAGCCTCCTGAGTAGTTAGGATTACGGGTGTGAGCCACTGGCGCCCGGCTATATGGCTTATTCTTGACTTCAGTGAGCTGACCTTTGACACAAAGTTTATTACAAGCACTATATATCTATACATTTAAATAATCATTGGTAACTTCAAATGTAGGCCTTCAAGCATAAGTGAAGATGACTCTGCCTTATAAACATACAGTGAGGCAGCTGTCTTCTGCAAGACAACAGCTAATTTGGTTTAATTCACAGCAATCTCATGGCCAGTGAACATGCTATTTTCAAGACTTTTTTGTTGTTCTCATCCTACTTTACAGAGGAAAATGAGGGTTAGAGATGTAGCTCAGAGGCAAAGGGTATGCTTAGCATATGTGAAGGACAGAGACATGATAATATGCAAGGTTTCATTTAGTTCGAGAGACAAAACTGTTAAAAGTTATGCTTAAGCAGAGGAAAACAACAGAGAAACCTGTGTGTGTGTGTGTGTGTGTGTGTGTGTGTGTGTGTGTGTGTGTGTGTGTGTGTGTGTGTGTGTGTGTGTGTGTGTTTAGTTCGAGAGACAAAACTGTTAAAAGTTATGCTTAAGCAGAGGAAAACAACAGACAAACCAGTGTGTGTGTGTGTGTGTGTGTTTAGTTCGAGAGACAAAACTGTTAAAAGTTATGCTTAAGCAGAGGAAAACAAGAGAAACCAGTGCGCGTGTGCGTGCGTGTGCGTGTGTGTGTGCGTGTGTGTACACACATAGACCTGGTTCTCACTTGGCTTTTGTCACTCAGGGCTGGTACTCTCCCACCTGAGCCAAACCTCCACTTCCTAAAAGGGATTCTTTTTTTTTTTGCCAGTCATGGGACCTGAGCTCTGGGCCTGGGCGCTTCAGCTCAAGGCTAGCACTCTACCACTTGAGCCACAGTGCCACTTCTGGCTTTTTCTGCTTATATGGTGTTGAGGAATCGAACCCAGGGCCTCATGCATGCAAGGCAAGCACTCTACCACTGAGCCACCTTCCCAGCCCAGTAAAAGGGATTCTTGATATGCAAGTTTTAGGAAAGGGGTGTAATGATTTTTATAATGGGATGTGGGAAAAAAGCCCTTCAAATATCTAAAGTCTGATGTAGATTAAAAAAAAAATCAACATAAGAGATTGTGTTTTTTGGAGGTAGTTTTCAAGTTCTGGTTATTTTGGAGTAGAACTCTGATTTTTTTTTTTTTTTTTTTTTTGCTGGTCCTGGAGCTTAAACTCTGGACCTGGGTGCTGTCCCTGAGTTTCTTTTGCTCAAGGTGAGTGCTCTACCACTTAAGCCACAGTGCCACTTCCAGCTTTTTTGAGTAGTTTACTGGAGATAAGACTCACATGTGAACCACTGGTGCCTGACTTGGAGTATAACTCTTGATGCAAATGTTTACGTAAGAGTTCAATATTTAAAGCAAGCTAAAAATAAGACCTTCCCAGCTAATAGTAGGAAATGAAGAGACAAACCCTTCCCCTCCCCCTGTAACTGCCCCTTCCCCAGAAACAAGTGTTATTTGAAGAATTACTGATAAATACCAGGCCAGCTTCTGGTTTAATTAAGAATAGTTTAGAGATAATTTGTTTTTGCCCTAGAATCTGACTCTAGTGGTAAAAGGGTTTTTAGTGCCTGGCTGGGTATGAGTGTCAGCTGGAAGTTATTCAACCTCCATGCTATTGACTGGAACATTTGTTTGGGTGTTATTGTTTTAGTGTTTTTGAGATAGGGTTTTTTATATAGCCCAGGCTGTTCTCAAACTCTGAAACACTTTTGGATCCAAGCAATTCCCCCCACCCCCACTACTGGGGACTGAACTCAGGCAGGAATTGTATTATTTAAGCCACACATTTAAGTCCCTTTATGCATTTTTTCAAGGTAGAGTCTTGCTTTATGCCCAGGTATAAAGCAGTGGCAAGTGTATGCACAGTCAATGTGGCTAGCTCTGAACTGATGGTGGAGAGTACACAGTGCTGGGGTGAGAAGAGGCGGGAAAGCTGATAATTCTTAAAGATATTGCTGTTTGTGCAGCTCCATGGAATCTTGGGGTGCATTCTATGGGTGTACATTTCTTAGCTTAAGAGTGGGCAGAGGGTCAAACCTGTTGGTGCATGCCCATGAGCCTAACTACTTGAGAAATGGAAAGAAGAGCAATTCTAGTTTGAGGCAAAGTTAATGAAACCTTACTTCAGAAACAAAATTCCAATACAAAAGGGCTGGGGGATGCCTCAAGAGGTAGAGCTGTGTTTTTTAGTTTTTTGGTTTTGCTTAGCATGTATAAAGTCCTGGGTTCAATCCCCAATAAGAGAGAGGGGGGAGGGGAAGAGCTAGAGAAAGAGGGAGAGAAAGGGAGGGAGAGGGGGAGAGAGGAAGAAAAAGAATAAAAAGAAAGAGAACATCATTAGCTATACTTTACAAATATCTGTTCTGTTTATTTAAAACTTTTCACAATACTAAGGGATAAGTGAGTATGAACATTTTAAATAACTTTTATACCTAAAACTATATAAGTAATAACTGTTTTATCCTTTGAACAAACATATGCTAAGTTTCCTGGACAATGAATGATGGATTCAATAGCAGAACAAAGTCGTCTTAATCCTGTAACTGTAAGAAAGAAGGCCTAAAAGTGAATGGGATTTTCATGGTGATTACAAAGATATGAGTCTCCTTTACATGATTAAGATACTAGAGTCCAACTAGGGAGTTTTATTTTCAGATTTTATATATATATATATATATATATATATATATATATATATATATATATATATATATATTCAGAAGATAGTTTTAAGACTGTAAGAGTATTTTGTTATAATACAATTATTTGTAACAACTACGTACATTTCTCTCTCCTAAATTCCTTTATAAGAATAAAAGTATGGCTGGGCATCAGTGGCTCATGCCTGTAATCCTATCTACTTGGAAAGCTGAGTTCTAAGGCTGACAGTTTGAAGCCAGACTGGGCAGAAAAGTCCGTGAGACTTTTATCTTCAATTAATCATCAAATCCTGGAAGTGGAGTGTCTCAAGTAGTAAAGCATCAGCCTTGAGCAGAAAAGCTAAGGGTCAGTGCCCAATCACTCATGCCTGTAATTCTAGCTAATGGAGATCTGGAGGATTATCATTAGAGGTCAGCCTCAGGCCAAAAAAAAAAAAAAAAAAACAGTGGAAATTCAATCCAATCAATAGCTAGGTCCACTGGCAGGTGTCTATCATCCTAGCTACTTGGGAAGTGTAAATAGGAGGATCTCAGTCCAGGCCACCTCAGGTGAACTCTGTTCAGAAAAATGAGGAAAGCAAAAAGGGCTGGGGGCATCACTCAGCAGTACAACACCTGCCTAGCAAGCCAAGTTCTAAATTCAAACTCCAGTATCACACACATATATATATATACTTATGATGAATGTGTGTATATTTATCCATGTATGTACATACATAAATAAACATTTATATGTATATATAGGAAATGCAAGGCATGAGTCTTTTTAAAAGTAAAGAGGGGAGATTTATCTGAATATTACAAAATAAAATAACCATCTTTGGTTGTTTTCTTTGGTGGCAGGGCTCAGGTAAGCAGTGCAGTCACCCCAGGGACAGGGTTGGTGCTGAGGTGCACAATATCCCCTGGGAAGGCATCCCAGTTTCCTTAGTCAATCACTGTCTTCTGATGTGTGCCATTATGGAGTGGCAATCCACAGTTGGATATCTAATGCCTCTGCTTTATGCTTGGCTTCTATGTTCCTTGTTCCAAGTTGGGCACAGAGGAACGCTGGCTCTTAGTGTCCAGTGAGAGAGAGAGAGAGAGAGTGTATGTGTGTGTGTGTGTGTGTGTGTGTGTGTGTGTGTGTGTGTGTGTGTGTGTGTGTGTGTGTAGTTTAGTGGCTCTTAGTGTCCAGTGAGAGAGAGGGGTGTGTGTGTGTGTGTGTGTGTGTGTGTGTGTGTGTGTAGTTTAGTGGCTCTTAGTGTCCAGTGAGAGAGGGGTGTGTGTGTGTGTGTGTGTGTGTGTGTGTGTGTAGTTTAGTGTCCAGTGAGAGGGGTGTGTGTGTGTGTAGTTTACAGCCTAGGGCGGAGAAACTGCTAAAACAATGGACATGAAACTTCCTTAACATTCCTTTTGGAAATTTCAGAAGTAAACAATTATGTAAAAACAAACAACACTCACCCAGAGACAAGAGGGTTTCTGAGGCCACATTTCTGATTTCTTCCGTATCAGACTGACACAATGTCACCAGCATTTTAATACATTCAGTAGCCTATTAAAGAGAACACAGTTTAAATAGCACTGTGACATCCAGGACTAGGGTTTTATGACACTTAGAATTTCACCACTGGCAGGAACTTTAAAAAACTTTTACTTAGGGGTTTGTAACCCTAGTCGAGTATCCTAGGATCAGTTACGAAGCATCTTAAAAATATAGATTCTACTTGGTGCTGGTGGCTCACACCTGTAATCCTAGCTATTTAGGAAGCTGAGAAACCAGCCTATGTATGCAATGAAGTCTGTGAGACTCTTATTTTCATTTGACCACCAAAAATCCAGAAGTGAAGCTGTGGTTCAAGTGCTAGAGCATGAACTTGAACAAAAAAAGCTCTGAATTCAAGGCAAGATCCCTGTGTTTTTATTTCTATGAAATTTAACAAAGATATCAGCCCTATTTTGTCCCTCTATGTCAGGGAATACCCACATAAACAGTAATCAATGTGGACTTTTTTTTTTGGCTACCTAGAGGTAATTTTTTGACCAACTAACAAGGAAGGAAAAATTTCCCACGGTTGTTTTTCTTCACAGGTCATTAACTTTTTCTTTTGAGGCATTAAGCCCTTTCATGTCCTACCAGGCCTACAGGTCCCTGCCCCTCGTCCACAGTGCCCATCCAAGGTTTTAGCAAGCTCTAAGGTGTGGACTTCTCTTTCTTTTCTCAAAGACTCCCCATTTAAAAGGGAGGTCAAACATTAAAAAGTAAACTCTTTTATGTTGGGAATTCTCAGCCCTTATTGTTCTTCCACTGACGTTTTAGTTTTCTTCCCTGGCTCCCTAACACATCCCCTGATACAGTTAAGATTGGTTAGCTGCTTCATAGACAATGTTTCATGAAAAGGGTCTGGGAATTTAGTGGCTCATTAAATTTTCATACTTCTTTGCAAATTTCATTTTTCTATGCTATTTGCTATACATGTTTAAGTATTGGTGAAATCACCTTATTATCTCTTTTGAGCCTTCCTTCCTTCCTTCCTTCCTTCCTTTCCTCCCTCCCTCCCTTCCTTTCTTTCTCCCTTTTTCTGTGCCAATACTAGGACTTGAACTCAGGGCCTGGTCTTTGTCCCTTAGCTTTATCTCTTAAGGCAAGTGCTCTATCATTTGAGCCACAGCTCCATCTCTGGCTTTCTGGTGGTTAATTGTACAGAAGAGTCTCATCAACTTTTCTGCCTGAGCTGGCTTTGCCTGGAGATCCTCAGATCTCAGCCTCCTGAGTAGCTAGGATTACAGACATGTGTTTTAAGTACTTGGCTTAAATACTTCTCTAATACTTATGCAAGGGCAGACTGATTCCTGTGGTCTGTTGCAAAACATTACCATTTCCTGTTACTTGTTGTTGCACAAATCTTATGCAGTTACCACTGAGGGACCTCACATCTACACAGATGAAAAGAGGTAAGATATACCACTAGAAGAGGAACTTTCCAATGGAGGGAAAGCTGCTGTGTCTACTTGGCTTAGCCTGGCTCTAATGGAAAAGTGTGTGTGTGTGTATTTATGTATGTGTGTATGCATGCACAAGTGCATGGTAGGGGGTGGTTCTGAGTTCTTTACCTCAAGGCTTCTCAGGGCCAGGCAAGCTGCCTTCTGGAGTTGGAGGTTAGTTTTTGTTAGTGCTTCACAGTAGTAGAGCAAGGCCTGAAAAAGAAGGAGAGATACACTGAGACAATATGAATTGTTTGACAATGAAAAAGGCAGTAATGGATAGGTGCCAGTGGATCATACCACGGCTACTGGGAGGGCTCAGATCTGAACATCTGAGGATGTCAGTTCGAAACCAGCCTGGGAAGACAACTCTGAGAGAGTAGATTCTACCCCTAACACTACAAAAAGACCAAACCAAACCAAACCAAATCTTCAAAAAACTACATAAAAATAATTTTTCTTAAACTGGGCGTTGGAGGAAAAATCTACAAGACTCTTATCCCCAATAAACTACTCAGAAAAAGCCAGACATAGCTGGGTGCCAGTGGCTCACGCCTGTAATCCTAGCTACTCAGGAGGCTGAGATCTGAGGATGGTGGTTCAAAGTCAGCCTGCGCAGGAAAGGTTGTAAGACTCTTTCGCCAGTAAAACCACCAGAAAATCGGAAGTGGTGCTGTAGCTTAAGTGGTAGCACACTAGCTTTGAGCTGAAGAGCTGAAGGATAGCGCCCAGGCCCAGAGTTCAAGCCCCACGACCAACCAAAAAAAAAGGCCAGACATGGTTCTGTGGCTCAAGTGGTAGAACGCTAGCCTTGAGCAAAAGGAGTTCAGGGATGGCACCCAGGCCCTGAGTTCAAGTCCTAGAACTGGAACACACACAAACACATACAAAGTAATTTTTCTAAAACTACTAAGCTATTTTTTCTAAGTAATTTATAAAATGTGTAGGACTTAATATTAAAACAAATGAGCTTGAGGTTCAAACCAGCCCAGGCAGGAAAATCCATGAAACTCTTCAATTAACCACTAAAAAGCCAGAAGTGGAGCTGCGGTTCATTTGTAAAGCACTAGTCTTGAGTGAAAAGGCTAAGGGACAGCACCTGGGCCCCGAGTTAAAGCCCCAGTACCAGCACTCAAAAAATGTAAATAAAATAAATATATAATTACAGGGTTGGGAAGGGGGCTCAGGTGGTAGAGTGCTTGCCTTGCATGCATAAGGCCCTGGGTTCGATTCCTTAGCACCACATAAGCAGAAAGACCCGGAAGTGGTGCTGCGGCTCAAGTGGTAGGGTGCTAGCCTTGAGCTGAAGAACTGAGGGACAGCGCCCAGACCCAGAGTTCAGGCCCCACAACTGACCAAAAAATAAATAAAAATATATAATTACATATGCTAGCATATTTAGATGAAATCTCCAGGAACAGACAATTATTACTGATTTTCTCTGGAAGCTGGACTTACAAGGGCACTCTACTATATTTCTATAGTGTTCTTTTACAGAGTACAAATTACTAATAAGACATTTATTTATTTATCTATCAGAGAATGAGTGTCATAGTAAATGATAGAAATGTAAACAAGCTGTGACTGGGTGGCCATGAGTTGGCTTCCTACCTTTTCCCTGAAGTGCTGGTTTTTGGAGGCAGCTGTCAAGTACAGTGTCACAGCCTCGCTGACTTCATTGTTATCTCTGGTTAGCAGCAAGGCCAGAGTCCTGAGCACTTCCTGCTGGGCTGGGAGGTTGCTGGCAACAAGATCGCTAACCATCTGTAGCAGGTTCTCATCCCTTAATGACTGCAGAGTCTGAACCACAGAAACTAGAGGATAAGAAGGAAACGGAGCTCAAGGTCTGCTAGTCCAACAATGTAGCCATTAAAAAAGGTCAATACCCCCAAAGGATGTATGTTTTCTCTCATATGTGGCAGATCTAAATTATAAATATATATATGTAAATATGTACAATACAGGATCATATGTATATTTACTATACTAACATATTAACTGAAGTTGGTATATGTAGGGGAGTATTCCAAGGATGTAACTTTTTTTTTTGTTAGTCCTGGGGTTTGAACTCAGGGCCTGGGCCACTGTCCCTGAGCTGCTTTTGCTCAAGGCTAGCACCCTACCACTTGAGCCACAGCACCACTTCTGGCTTTTTCTGTGTATATGCTGAGGAATCAAACCCAGGACTTCATGCATACCAGGCAAGCACTTTACTACTAAGCCACATTCCCAGCTCCCAAGTGCAACTCTTTTGAATTACTTACAGGCTAACAAAATGAACCCCAGTAAACTGACATTTGAGGTGTCAGGGGGGCTGAGGTCAATGGGAGGAGGGTAGATGAATGAAGAGAGAAAGGATGGGAAAATACAGTTATAATATTCAATGTATATATGTGAGAAGACTAGGAAAATTGAGAGGGTAGGTGGGGTTGGGAGAGATGGGGCAGAATGATGAAAGAGATGACATTGACTAAGATGCATTGTACTTATAAACCAATGTGCTCAACTGAAACCTCTTTGAACAACCATTTAAGGATAAAAACAATTAAAAAGGCAGTGCTCTGTATTTTTAGTGAAAGCATATATACAGTAAACCCAGTATCTATGAAAAACTAGTGCATGATAAAGATGGTGAGTAAAGTCCCAATAATTCGAGTAATTATAATGAGAAGGGAGCAAATCAGAGAGGAAATGTAAAGTTAGATTTCTACCAACTTAAAAGTTCTATTTCAAAGTTCTCTTTCTAATGGCTGCAGATCAGAACACAGTTGAATTTAGTAGTCACATATAGAAATATACAGTGAAGAAAATACAGAGAGGTATTTCCTACAGTATTCCATATATCAGCTATCTAAAAATTGTAATCCTAGGTAAATCCTTGAACATACTGAGGTGGCCAGGCCCTGATGAAGAAACTCAGTTATGGGAACTCAGACTATGGAAACACTATGACTAATAGTAGAGTCTGAATCTTCTTGGGACAGTTTGGCCAGGTGTCATGAGTCAGGAATGGCATGCTATCTGTAAAGAGACAGTCACAAGAGTATTCAATACTTCCTGCCTGTAAGCCTAGCTACTCAGGCTGAGATCTGAGGATCATGGTTCAAAGCTATCCTGGGCAGGAAAGTCTGTGAAACTCTTTATCTGCAATAAACCACTAGAAAAGTGGCGCTGTAGCTCAAGTGGTAGAGCGCTAGCCTTAAGCTGAAGAGCTGAGGGATAGCACTCAGGCCCAGAGTTCAAGCCCCATGACTGACAAAAAGAAAGAAAAAGAAAGAAAGAGAAAGAGAGAAGAGAGAGAGAGAGAGAGAGAGAGAGAGAGAGAGAGAGAGAGAGAGAGAGAGAGAGGAAGGAAGGAAGAGAAAGAAAGAAAGAATAAATGACACTATCATATAATGAGACCTTGTGCTCTTAGGATACGGTCTTCCTACCCTGGCTTTCTCTTCCTAGTCTTTGGTACCAAATTCTTTTTTGGTGAGTTATACAAGAGTATTCTCAGCTAGACAGAGGACTTTTACTATTCCACATGATGTTAGTTATTGCCAGGTTAATGTTCTGGAAAGAGCACGGTAGAGACTGGGTCTGGGTCAGACATGCTAATATTGCTCCAGTCTTGGAGAACACACCTCATTCCTCCTGCCCCTTCCATCTAAATGGCCAAGGCCTGTGGATTTGTGGAGCACCAACCTGCGAGCCAGAACCAGCTGCTCCTAGCCTGGCTCCTCCCCCAGAGAGATTCGTACTGTATTCAAATGCTTTATTGACAATATTAGAGGTGCTTAAACCCTACCCTCGATTTGGCCCCTCTCCTTCCCTGGATAGTCTTAAATTTCATTCTCTACCTTCCCTTCCCACTTTTATCCTAGCCTTCTTATAAATCCCATTTCTGTCTATTGTTGATGAAAAACTCCATCACAAAGAACCATACAAAGTAACATTGCCTGTGGGTCTGATCCTACAAATGTCAAATATATTAATGAAAGAAAAAATTTATAGTTAAATCTTAAATCAGTTACAAGCTTCCTGTTAATGTTATACCTCTGTTCATGACCAGAATGCTCAGTAAATTCTTGTTTTATTAACTAATGTTAAAGATTCAGAAGTTATTTAAAAGGGAGGAGTGGGGGGGAGAAACGGAGAGGAGGGGAGAGAGGGAGAGGGGAAGAGAGAGGGAAAGGAAGAGAGAGGGGGAGGGAGGAGGGTAGGGGAAGAAGGGGAGGGAAGGAGAGAGAGAGCGAGAGAGGAGAGCGAGAGAGGAGAGAGAGAGAGAAGAGAGAGAGAGAGAGAGAGAGAGAGAGAGAGAGAGAGAGAGAGAGAGAGAGCACTACCATGAATAAAAGCTGTAATTGAAAAGACCAGGGGGTGTGATATGTGATATTGGGAGTGTTTGGAGGTTGGGAGCTCATGGCTGGAAACTGGCTGCCTGAGTGTCATGTCGCATAAATAAATTTACTATTTGGAGAAATATGACGACGAGGAGTTTGAATACTGGCATGTCATGTAACCCAAGAACATAGCCAAACTTGTCTCAAGAACCCATTTGATGTCTGAATCTGAATGGAGGAATCTTGGTGCTCAACAGATCAGGGATGCGTTCATTATATGATCCATGAACCAGAACCTCACATCTTGCTGTTCCGGAGGCCAATACCCAACAAGCCAAAGAAATGAAGCTGGAGAACCATTTTCAACCTCAAGCTTTACACAACTGTCCTCTCTAACATCTTTCTCATAGCACGATTATGTTGTTTTCTTATTTCTCACTTTGATATTTTAAGGATGTTTGATACACTATTTGAATCTGTTGAAAACGTCTTTGCTTTTTTTTTTTTTTTTGTCAGTCATGGAGCTTGAACTCTGGGCCTGGGTGTTGTCCCTCAGCTCTTCAGCTCAAGGCTAGCGCTCTACCACTTGAGCCACAGAGCCACTTCTGGATTTTTGGTGGCTAATTGGAGATAGGAGTCTCATGAACTTTCCTTGCCCAGGCTGGCTTTGAACTGTGATCCTCAGATCTCAGCCTCCTGAGTAGCTAGGATTACAGGCATGAGCCACCGGCACCCAGCTTGCTTTGCTTCTTGAGTAGATCTGCTACCAAAGCCCTGCCAAGGAATGCTTTGTGGGCTTCAAGCTCAGTTGAGTGGGATCTCAGAAATCATGGTGTGCTCTGTATCTGTAGAGCACTTGGAAGAGGAAGGAAGTGTTTTAAGAATCGGACCATGGCTGTACCAGGGGTTGTATAAACCTGCTATTTTATTTTTTCCTACCGTGTACTGTATGTATGGTGACTTGTGGATTTATCTCTCAATGTATTGGAAACTTTCCACTTTACTCAAGAAATCTGTTCTTTTCAAGATGATTAAAGAGGAAGTTTTTATAATCTAAAAAAAAAAAAAGACCAGGGGGACCAGGCCCCAGTGGCTCATTCCTGTAATCTTAGCTACTTAGGAGGCTGAGAACTAGGGCTCCTGGTTCAAAGCCAGCCTGAACCACCAAGTGGAGCTGTGGCTCAAGTGGAAGAGTGCTAGCTTTGAATAAAAAGCTCAGGGACAGTGCCCAGGCACTGAGTTCTAGACCTGGGTATACACGTGTACACACACACACACACACACACACACACACACACACACACACACACACACGAGAAAACTCTAAACTGAGCTGCATCTGCAGTGTGACAAGAGAAGGTGCTCACCCTGCCTGGCCAGCTGGCTCAGGTAACTCTCCAGGTCATTCACACCATGGCTTGTAAAGTAACTATAATACTGGAAAACGGTGACAACTTCTGAGGAGAGGTTGGAGGAAAGCAGAGGCTCAGCCTGGTCCAGGATTTGGGACACCAGGGTCCGAAACACTACTCAGAAAAGGAAATACAAAGCAGCTGAAGTAATAGAACCATTCATTCATTCACCTAATCATTCCTACCTGGTGGCATTTATATATAGAACCTCCTATAGAACTGCCAGTTAGGTCAAGATGTGGAAGATCCCAGCCTGCCATCAGCTTTTCCTATATCCCTTTGCAGGTTGGAGCTTGCCAGCCACCCCTCCTCCCATGTGGAATGGATAACTTGATTTCTATCAACATAAATGTGCCTTGAATTCTTTTGCCCTTACAGAAATTGAACCACACAATTCTACAATTAGAATTTGTATCTTTTTGTTTTACTTCAGAAAGCATCTATGAGACTCATCTAAATTGTTGCTTGAAGAAGCAATATATTTTTATTTAAGTTTTTCATTGTTATTATAAAGGTGATGTACAAAGGGGTTACAGAAGTCAGGTAATGAGTTCATTTCTTTTTGGATATATATTTTTTTAAACTATGCAACATCCTGTAGTAGGATTATATTCATTCATCCATTCTTTTGTTTTGAGCATTTGAATGTTTGACTCTTGGAAATAAAAGTATGCATTGACCAATACATGTCTTTTCTTGTGAACATGAGCATTTTTTCCTCTTCTTACAGTTAAGAGCACAGTTGTTTAACCCTAGGGTGGTAGGAGATGGTCAGTTTCACTAGCAGCTCTGGTTTTTCCAAAGTGGTGACATTTCCATATCGGTGACATTTTACTGAAAACAAACCCTCTGCTATCATGACATATCATATCATCTTTTTTGCTGTTGTTGTTTTGTTTTTTGTCAGCCATGAGGCTTAAACTTTGGGTCTGGGCACTGTCCCTGAGCTCTTCAGCTCAAGGCTAGCTCTAGCCCTTTGAGCCACAGCACCCCTTCTGGTTTTCTGGTGGTTAACTGGAAATAAGAGTCTCACAGACTTTCCTGCCTGGGTAGAACCTTGATCCTTAGATCTCAGCTTCTTAGTCAATAGGAGTCTATCATGTGCTCTTATATCTTCTAATCCAACAGCACACCACAGCTATACAGGGTGAAGACTCTTCATCTGTACTAAACAAGTACAGGTCTTTTACCCTGGTCATTATTTCCTGATCGACACAGTTTAAGTACTATTTGCAGCACTTACTGAGCATTATAGCAACACAGAGATGATTTTAAGCTTATGGAAAGATGTGCATAGGTGGTATGCGAACACACCACATCACCTTGTATATCAGCAACTTGAGCACAGATTTGGTTATCTGTAGGGGACCTTGATTCTTCCCATGGACACCAAAGGGCAAACTGTCCAAGCCTAAATAGCAATGCACACACATACTGCTTGTGTAAACCATCACAATTAAACATCTGAATTAAAACACATTCACCATCTTTGTCTTAAATCTAATTAAGTAGATTGTTTTCCCCAAAGGACATATATTGCTTTTCCAGGACTGCTCTTGATGGGACCCCACCTCTAGGCTATAGGGCAAGAGTGAGGGGAATGCCACCAGTACTCACTCTCCTATAGAAGGACAAATATTCTGCAATCATCACTGTTCCATACCTGGGTCCGCAAGCCCTGGATATTCTTTGTTTACAGTTCTGGCAAAGCTGGCCTCCAACTGCTTCATCACTCGGTCAGCTGAGCTGTGGTAGACTCCAACTGGGCTGCAGCACTTGGTCCAGAAGGACAGCAAAGATAGCTTTTTGTGAAATTCTGGGATGGCTGGAAAAGAGGAGCAGCCCCATCCCACAACCTGAGTTTTCAACAAGCCGGCGATATGTACCACTAGTCAGGACAGGGTAGGAGTGGGGTCCTATCCCCAAGGGGATTTTCATTTTTATTTTTAAGAATGTGATTTTCATTTGAAAGCAACTATAAAATTCCTCTGGTCCAGAGAACAGAGATAGCTCAAGAAGGAATACTTCCTGACAGGAGGGCAAAGCAAGTATAGTCCAAAGCCAGGCTTCCAGTGACTCAAATCCACAGCTTTGCCCTGAGAAAGACATCCAGGTATCTCATCTCCTGTAACTTTTTTTTTTTTTGGGGGTGGGGGGAGTGGAGGTGGTCATGAGGCTTGAACTCTGGGCCTGGGCACTATCTCTCAGCTCTTCAGCTCAAGGCTAACACTCTACCACCTGAGCCACAGCGCCACTTCTGGTTTTCTGGTGGTTAACTGGAGATAAGAATCTCATGGACTTTCCTGCCTGGGCTGGCTTTGAACTGTGATCCTCAGATCTCAGCCTCCTGAGTAGCTAGGATTATAGGCGTGAGCCACCAGTGCCCGGTGTAACTTTACAGCAAATACATATGCAAGACCGGAGACTCAGCCTCAGGACACTTTTCCTGAAAGGGATGGAAGGGAGCAATGAAGGGGGAGGACCTCTGACAGAGAAGAGACGAGTCACATGCAACCTGGATGTGCCCTCTGCATGCCTCTCACAGACCTGTTAAGACCATTCTCATAGGAATGGACGCCTGAGGCAGACATGCAGGGAGATCTTCAAGGGAGCTTAGGGCTGCATCCCAGCTTACCTGGGAGCCCCTATTTCTACTTCTATGTGATACAAGAAAAGATGGAAGCTCTAGTCTTTATGAAAGACATGTAGGCCAATTGAGGGAATGATTTCCAATCAAAGTACTAACACAGCTGGGTGCTGGTGGCTCATACCTGTAATTCTAGCTACTCAGGAGGCTGAGATCTGAGGATAATGGTTTGAAGACAGCCTGGGTAAGAAAGTATGTGATTGCTTTTTTATCTCTAATTAACCACCACCAAAAAGCCACAAATGGAGCTGTGACTCAAGTGCTAGGGCTCCAACCTTAAGTGAGAAAGTGAAGGGACTACCCCAGGCCTTGAGTTCGAGCCCCAGTATTAGTACAAAACCAACCAACCGACCAAAATACATACATATATATAGATATATAGATATGCACATACACATGTCTATATGTGTATTAAAAAAACATACAACTAATATATGCTTTAAACAAACGTAATGAATTAAAAAAAAAAAAACAAAAATAAAGAGCCTGAGGCATCCTCCCCATGTCAAGTTCTGCCTCTAAAGCTCTTAGAACCAGGGATCACCCTGAAGGCCTCTGCATCCACACAGCCCCACCTTCTCCTTTAGGTTTTGCAAGCATCTTCCATGAGACATCCACCTGTTATGGGCATTGTCTTAGCCAACTCTCTGTATGAGAACAATCCCCATGACATGCCACCTGAGACATTGCCTGGGGTGGATGCCATTTCTGTTTGAACACTAGTATCTGACTTTTGGAGGTAGAGGTTCTACAGGAAAGGTGCTATGGCTCTAGCTTGACTCAGAGGCTTTAGTGTGGCACAACCAAGTCCACAGTATGGAGATCTTACCCTGTAGTATGGCCTAAGAATACCTGTTTATCTTCCTGGCAAAGCAATTAACAGGTGCAGGCTGCTGGGGAGTGTGTTTCGGGGTTTGGTGTGTGGTGGTAAAGCTGGGGATGGCTCACCTTCTATCACAGAGCTGATGTTCCCTATGTTCTCATCACTGACAGCTGATAGCTTCTCCATCACTTGGATCTGCCTAGAAAGCTTCTCCAAGAGATTCCTGGCTACAAAAGGGGTTTTGCTGGAGAAAACAATTTGCTGTTAAGAAAAAGAAAAATAACACCATTGCAATTACATTGCTGTTGATTCAACATTCCCTTCCCAGATTCATCCTTCTTTTTAAAATTTCTTTATTGTTATTATAAAGGTGATGTACAGAGGGGTTACAGTTTCATAAGTCAGGCAAAGAACATATTTCTTTTTGGATAATGTTATCCCTTCCCTTGCTTTCTCCCAGATTTCCCCTCCCATCCCCACACACCCACAGATTCATCCTTCTTAAGTATCAGTGATGTTTAATAGACTCAATTGATGCTTAATGAGAGGCTCTGGTTCCAGCCTCACCATGGTCTCATTCCCTGCCAGATGTACCATCTGATGAAATTGGATCTGCTTTTGTTGGCTTTAAACTTTTTTTATGCCTATAAATATTCTGGAAGTTTCTTAGTAGAGCAACAAATTACTCTATAAAGTTCCCTTTCCATTTGTGTGTATATGAGAATGTATATGTACATGTGTGTATATATGTATGTTATTGAGACAGAGTCTCAATATATAGCCCAGATAGTCTAGAACTGGTTATCCTCCTGTTTCTGTCTCCCAAATGCCCAGATAACAGGGATAAGCCACCATACCTGGCTTTATCTTTCCTTTGATGTACTATAAATCTGATTTTCCTTTTTGAAATTCAAAATTTTTCTGTTTATACACAGAAAATTTGTCTTACACGTGCAGTAGTTTTTGTATAGTGTGGTTTTATTTTCTTGTTTTTAAGTTGATAATTAACAACTGATTGTATAATAGTCATGATTACAGTCAGAGGGCTCACTATGTACCAGGCATTGGTCTGAACTCCTGTTAATTCTTACAATGGCCCAATGAAGCAGGCCCTATATGATACCTCCCATTTAAGTGATGAGGAAACTGAAGCAAGGAGAAGTCAAGTCACTTGCCCTAGGTCACATAAGTATTATGTACTTTAATTTGCGCTCAGATTATAAAAATACCACTGTTATTCAATGGTTCTCCTTTTGATGTCTTTTAGAGAACTGTACTGGTCACCTGGTGGACATGGATGTGAGATGTATGGGCTAAAGCATTTGGACACTAAGACAAATAGCATTTTCCAACTTAGGAGGTCTAACAGTTATGTACTAATGTCTTTCCTGGAAGAAATCCAGTGGAAAAGTACTTTATTTTACCAATAATTATGACTGATAGAATCCTAATTTTTTTTTCTTGGTCGTGGGGCTTGAACTCTGGATCTGGGCACTGTCCCTGTGCTCTTCAGCTCAAGGCAAGCATTCTACCACTTGAGCCACAGTGCCACTTCTGGTTTTCTGGTAGTTAATTGGAGGTAAGACTGACATATTTTCCTGCCTGGGCTGGCTTTGAACCATGATTCTCAGATCTCAGCCTTCTGAGTAGCTAGGATTACAGGCGTGAGCCACGGGTGCCCGGCTTGTAAGACTCTTATCTCCAATTAACCACCAGAAAACTCGAAGTGGCACTGTGGTTCAAAGTGGTAGAGCTCTAGCCTTGAGCAAAAAGAGTTCAGGGATAGTTCCAGGCCTTGAGTTCAAGCCCCATGATGGGCCAAAAAAAAAAAAACAAAAGAGTTGTTATGCTGGGAGTGGTGGTGTACTTGTCAGATTTACTTATTCAAAACCCTGGAAAATGTGGTTAGAAACCTTAGTAGTTTGCTCTTATCTTTGAAGGGGTGGGAAATGAAGTCATGGATAGTCATTAGGCCATATTAACACTTCCCTTCACAACTCCATTTGTAAATAACAACTTTTCCCCATAATGATATTACTCTCCTTTACTACCTAAGGATTTCAAAGTGAGAACTAACCATGTACCTCCACCTGCTGCCTGGAGAGATAGGCTTTAAGATGGCTAGAGAAAGATGCGCATGCCCCTTTGAGTTTTTGACTTAGTTCAAATTGAAGTAGAATTGTTTTTACTCCTGAATTTGAAAAGTCAGAATACACCTGCCTTGAATTTAAGCAACCCGGGCTCCCAAACACAAATGTAGTCATTAAACCAACCTGGACAAGCTGGGTGCAGTATTGTAGGTGCCTGACAATGGTGATGTCCAGGCTCTCATTTCCTGTGGTCAGTGGGAGAGGACTTCCTGCCACACTGGTCCCCACTCCTGTGTCTTCAGTCAGCGCTTCACTAAGATGCCCCCTGGCTTCCGGATGAACGGACCTATAACTGTCAAGCAGGAAGTTGAGCAAAGCATGAGTGTTTTCTTCCTGGGTACAGATCATAGGTCAAGTCAACATGGCTGCTGTCAGGCCCCCAGCAGCACTCACTAAATCAGTCTTTTCACTTGCCTAATTTGAAGATAGCTTTTGAAAACAACTTACTCCAGCCAGGTTGCCCATTTGCCTAGTATTAAAAGTTCATGCAAACAAATTACTTCTCGAGTTCTTCGTTTACTTCTCAAGCACAATGGACCATTTATGAAGTAGGTTTCCCCAAGAAGCCTTTGCAATATGCCCTCATTTTGTACTCGTTGCACTTTCCTGCTCTGTTGACAGGGTGATCTGCCAAATTCTCTGGGATTAAACTCTCCCCTGTATTTGTGGTTTCCCAAGAGTAGTACCATTAAGAAATAATCTGTCAAGGCCTTTCCCTGGCCTCAGATCAATTGTTGCTTGAAATAAAGGAAACAGGAAAGCTGCCAAGAACAGAGATGCTATGGACAAAAGTGGAAAACAGTGTTTGAATATTTAGAGCACAGTTTAGTCCGATCTCTCAGGACAGGACTCCACTGTCTCTGTACAGTTTAAAGGTAGATTATAATGGGCACTTGTGCAAAATATAGATTGTCGGTAACATCTTTTTTGTTGTTGTTGTTGGTCGTGGGGCTTGAACTCTGGGCCTGGGCACTGTCCCTGAGCTCTTCAGCACAAGACTAGCACTCTAGTCTTTCTGGTTGCTAATTGGAGATAAGAGTCTCATGGACTTTCCTGCCTGGGCTAGCTTTGAACTGAGATCCTAAGATCTCAGCCTCCGAAGTAGCTAGGATTATAGGTATGAGCCACGGGTGGCTGGCTCAATTTAATTCTTAAAGTGCATCTGTATGCTCACAAGGGAAAGACTAGTAACCTCAATTAAGATGGCATAACCGAGTTGTTAACCAGCATATCCTGTTCATTCAGATGGAATAGTGATGGGGAAACTTCCAAGTTTCATGCTGCACAATGTGTCCACAATGAAAAGATCAAACTTAGAAACTCCAATGGCTTTGCTCTGCTTCACATCTATCCCCTGCGGAAAGCCCTCAACTTTTGTCCTTGCAGTTAACACATTAAAACACATACACATACACACACACACACACACACACACACACACACACACACACACACACACATACACATACACACACACACACACACTCTCTCTTTTCCTGATTTTTTTTTTTTTTTAGTTGGTTGTGGGGCTTGAACTCTGGGCCTGGGTGCTGTCCCTCTGCTCTTCAGCTCAAGGTTGGGGCTCTACCGCTTAGGCCACAGCGCCACTTCCAGTTTTCTGGTGGTTAACTGGAGGTAAGAGTCCCATGGACTTTCCTTGCCCTGGCTGGCTTTGAATTGTGATCCTCAGATCTCAGCCTCCTTAGTAGCTAGGATTACAATGGTGAGCCACCAGTTCCAGCTTCCTGATACTTTTGATTATAAACAAGACTGAGTGAATTAGATTTATTTAATATAAATGTTCTGTAAAATGTACAAAAGTCCCATTTTTTTATTGTTAGGATACTGCTTATAGCAAGAAGAAAAACCTTTACATGCCTAACCTTGTTATACATTAGCTTGATTTAACAAGTACATAGAAACATTTTTGTGAAAGAAGTATTTCATGAATTCAATCAAGCTAGAAGTACAATGTTGAATGTGGAGTTAAATATTACATGTTAATCATTAAATGTTATTAAATATTAAATATTACATGGAGTTAAATATTAAATGTTAAGTTAAATATTACATTTATTTCCTAAAATTTATTTCCTTCTTTTCCCAGCTTGTTCAAGGGATAAATTCTAATCCTCATGTGTGTGTGTGTGTGTATGTGTGTGTGTGTGTGTGTGTGTGTGTGTGTGTGTATACATGTATGTCTGTGTGTGTCTAACAAGATTTTAGGGTCGAAAAAAATCATTCCTTTAGGAACAATGTAAAGCACCTCCCACCGAGAGCTCTGTAAAGGCTGGACAATCACAACCTTTTTAACTTGCATAACTCTTTTTTTTTTTTGGGGGGGGGGGTCCTGTCGTGGGGCCTGAACTCTGGGCCTGGACGCTGTCCCTCAGCTCTTCAGCTCAAGGCTAGTGCTCTACCACCTGAGCCACAGAGCCACTTCTGGCTTTTTTCTTTTTGCTTATGTGGTGCTGGGGAATCGAACCCAGGGCCTCAGGCATGCAAGGCAAGCACTCTACCACTGAGCCACCTTCCCAGCCCCTTGCATAACTATTTCTGTCACCATTATTGTGCTAAAAGTAAAGAACAGCAGGAAAGCAGCCTTTCCCAGGGGGAAGTGTGTTCCTTCACAATAAATGCTGACTGTGTGTTTCAATGGGCATTTTTCTTCATCTGACATCAGGAAAATGGACCCCATGGCTTGATTGCACAAGAATAACTGATGGAGACGGTGATACCCAGCCGGCTAGAGATCTAGTGGAGCTGTCAATCAACCCCGTTTATATTCTAAGGGAAATACACTCCACAGAGTGTAAGCCTGGTTGCATAAGTACATTGATGAGCGTGATCTTATGCAAAGATGCACTGAGCTGAAGGGAAGAAATACAGGCAGATGTTGACTTCATACTTACCTGTTTTTCTCAGTCTCAGCGTCTGAAAAAACTGAGTCAGCACCTCCTCCAACATGACAAACCTCATCAGCATCCTCTTCCTCCTCGTCAAAATCCGAGGTGTTCAGGAAATCAAAGCTTTCTAAAGCACTTTCAACGGTCAGACTTAAGCTGGAAGACCTGCTGCGGCTTCCTGCAGGCTTGCACTGCGAAGGCAGAAGGTACCAAGGACAGATCGCGTCAACACACCCAGAGGAGGAACAAGACACAAGGTAGTGGGCGAGGTGATACTTTTCTTTTTTCCAAGCCTTTATTATTATTATTTGTTATTCAAAAATCTTCAGATTAAAAAAAGAGAAACACAATCACCGATAAATGGCACAATGTCTGGGATCTGTTCCCAAAATAGTCCAGGGAGAAGCACACAGGTAGAAGAATAGAAACAAGATTGGCCACGAGTTGACACTGGGGATCATTGGGCATGACAAAGGATCGGGATGGGTATGTTTACTTCTTTTTGAATTTTTTTTTTTTTTTTGTTTGGTTGTGGGGCTTGAACTCTGGGCTTGGGCTCTGTCCCTGCACTCTTCAGCTCAAGGTGAGCGCTCTACCACTTGAGCCACAGCACACTTCCAGTTTTCTAGTGGTTTATTGGAGATAAGAGTTTTACAGACTTTCCTGCCCGGGCTGGCTTTGAACCATGATTCTCAGATCTCAGCCTCCTGAGTAGCTAGGATTACAGGCGTGAGCCACTGGTGCCCAGCCTCTTTAAAAAATTTTTATAACAAAAAATCAAAATAAAGTACGACCCCCCAGAAAGTCTTGGGAAACAGAACTGTTTATCTCCAAATAAAGTATAACCAACAAGCTGGGCACCATGACTGTGTAACTGGAGTTCCAACTACCCAGGAGGCTGAGATCTGAGGATCATAGTTTACAGCCAGCCCCAGCAGGAAAGTCTGTGAGACCCAATAAACTACCAAAGAAACCAGAAGTGCAGCTGTGGTGCAAGTGGTATAGCCTTGAGCAAAAGAAGCTCAGGGACAGAGCCCAGACTCTGAGTTCAAGCCCAGGACTGGCAAAAAAAAAAAAGGAAGGAAGGAAAGAAGGAAAAAACAAAGAATGAAAGAAAGGAAAGGGAGGAGAAAAAATAATCTTAAGATATTTCATCAGGCAAATTTTGAGTTACTGAGTCACTGTTGACTACTAACTAGTCTCTAATTCCAAGTGACAATGTCTTGACAGTACTGAGATCAGAGCTATCTATCTGTTTAGAGCTACTTCTAAATGACTACCAAACAAGATGCCAAGAAGAGAAAACTGCTCAAGTCCACTTAGGTCACACCCCTTAGGTAAGAGCTTAATGTTACATTTGCAAAATACAAATTTTTCTTTGATCACTGGGGAGCAAATGAACAGTGTAGAAGACCACTTTCTCTGGAATTTTGAAAGGAATCAGTACTATCACCCAACTGACCAAGTCCTGGAATTATGGGGACCAGGTCCTTCTATGGCTTGGAGAAGTCTATGTTGCAGGACATAAACAGAAACATCCAAACACACAAAGCCAGTTGCTATGGACACAGAGTTGGAGAGAAGTACTTCCAGGATGCTTGACAGTGTACTGAACAGGACAAGTCCTGCTAGTCAGATGCATTAAATGTCTTCCATCCAGCTAGCTGGTGCTCCTTTGCTGATTTCTTAGCACAGGATAGGAAAGGCCTTGCAGGGATCTGTCTCTGACTCCTAAGATGGCACAGAAGCACATGGGAAATGTCTTTTGGTCTTTTAAATCACAGTGGTTTCATTCACACTCAGTGGTCTCCATCCAAGTAGCCGTATCACTTAGTCTGTGATCCTCAAGATGTTTAGTACCCTAGGAATGTGAAGGAGGAAAAAAAGAGAGAAAGCTTTGTCCCGCTGAGGCTTGAATTCTGGCTGGATATGAAGCTACCTGCCCCAGACCTAAATTCCCAGGGACATTTTTAATCTCTGGGGGAGAGAGGAAACCAGGCTTCAAACCCATTAAAGAGTCATCGTTCCTAAGCTGGCTATCTGCACAGTTTGATATTAAACAGGACAGATGAGTTTAAGTATGTGTTATCGCAAAACAAAGGGTGGTTGAAGATTTGGAATTATTTTGGACTAATAGATGGAAATCGTACTCTGTGACTACAAGATTTTATAAACGATCAGATGCTCAGTGTTTCTTGGTAGATTGGATTATTTATCAGCACTGACACCTTGGACTAGAATTGGAGCTCCCATCACACCTGCCTGTCTCTGTCTCTCTGCTTCTTACTTTTTCCCCCTCCCTCCTATCTCTCCCCCTGATGCACAGGTGCTAGAGATCAAACCCTTATAATGTGTTATATAACATATATTATACATACCACTGATTTTACGACATCTGCTTTAAGAGGAACCAATATGTGTCTTAGTTCTTTGAAATTAACACATTTTGCTCACAAAGCAAAAAAAGATGATCTTTCTCACAAAAAAGATGATCAGTAGGACATGATATGACAACCCACCTGTAATCCCAGCTACTCAGGAGGCAGAGATAGGAGGATCATGGTCTTAGACTGGCCCTGGCAAAAGCATGAGACCCTTTCTGAAAAACCAACTAAAAGCAAAAGGATTGGGAGTGTGGCATAGGTTTTTGAGTGCTCTGTGTTCAAAATCCAAGTATTATGATAAAAGCAGATTCCAGGTTCCCTTTCCTGTTTCTCAGAGACCATACCTACAGTAGAACTAATCTGTTAAAAAGACATCAAGGAGCCAAGTGCCAGTGGATCATGGCTGTATACTAGGAGGCTGAGATCTGAGGATCACAGTTCAAAGCCAGCTGGGACAGGAACGTCCATGAGATTCTTATTTCATGGGTCAACCACTAAAAAGCCAGAAGTGGAGCTGTGGCTGAAGTGGTAGAGTTCTAGCCTTGAGTAGAAAAGCTCAGGGACCAGTGTTCAGGCCCTGAGTGAAGCCCCAGGATTAGGGAAAAAAGGACCTGGAGAGTCAGAAGCTAACCTGTCATCTACCCTGGTCACAAATTCTCTCCAGAAGTAGGTTAGCTTGACTGAAGAAAGAGATGGTTAAAGATGGAGGAAAAGCTTTTAATAAATAGCTCCTGATACCTCTTAAAACTGACCTGCAAAATGATGTAGCCTCCTATGTGCTGGTTCTTAGCTGACCACAGCAACCACTTTATACAATGGGCCTCTATGGAAAAGAATCCAAGTTCTCTTCTCTATGGCCTTATGAATCAGAATGGGAAAGAAAAGGATCCAAGAAATAGCAGTGTAATTCCAGACAAAATATCAAGCTCTTTCTGTGCAGTATTAAAAACAAAACAAAACAAAGACCAGGTATGGTGGTACATGCCTGAAAGCTCAGCTACTTGGGAAGAGGACATCAGATGGTTCAAGGCCAGGATGGGTAAAAGGTAGAAAAGACTCTATCTCAACAAATAAGCCAGTGTGCACAGCTGTCATTCTAGTTACATAGGAGGCCATAGATAAGAGGATCTCAGTCTGAGACAGCCCTGGGCAAAAACAGAAGACTCTCAACAGAAAAACAATTAAAGCAAAAAGGGCTAGAGGTTCAGGTGGTAGAGTGTCACATACACACAAAATGTTTAACTTCTATGCCAGGGGGAGACAAATCCATTTTAATGTAGCAGTGATGATCTCATTATTAGGACCTCCTCAGAAGAAATGATTCCTCTCTCTCCCACCTTCCCATTTCTAGCCTGTGGGATCACCATGGATTGAGGAAAATTTCTCTGGTGGAATCTAGAGGATGAGCAATGGTTAATCTAAGATCCTAAGGATGATCTGAGCCAAGTGCAGAAGTTTCTTCCAGCCAGCAGCTGTGAGCAGAAAGGATGGCTGGGGCTCAAATATCCCCAGGACTGGGGCTGGCTGACTTCCTTCTCAGGGAAATGGCTTCCTGCTTCCCTGTAGTCTTAGATGAACCCTATTTAGTAACATCTGTGGTGAGCAAGCCCCCAACATTTCACACTTGGGATCAGAACAATTAACTCTGGGACAAGTCACACATCCATTAGAGCTCCTAATGCCAACTCTTAATCAGTAAAATTGATCTGTTGCCAGAAAAATAAAATTATTTGTATACATACATATATTTATTTAATTGGCATAAAAATCACTGCTATTTAAATGATTATTGATCCTGTGTCTGGACAGGTTTTAGAAAACAACAACCAAAACAAATAGAACCCTTACACTATCTTACATAAAATGTTGGCTTAGGATTCTGCTCTCCAAATAGAATTCAATTTCTCTGAAAGGGTACTTACTTTTAGAATATCATCCAAGTGCATGACTTCTTGGTTGAGATCTTGAAACTCCTTGTACTGCTCTTTATGGGGTTCCAGTGCCAGGAAAAGCCCGTTAAAGGCATCTTCTAAGCTGCCATCCAGGAAGGATCTACAGCCTTCCGATTCCCCACTGAGAGAGCCCTCGAAGGGCAGCTTCTCCGCAGCCACCGGCACCTCAGCTGACGTGAGCCTCTTGACCAGCTGCTTCGTGATGTTCCCTTCAAAAGTGTCCAGTTCCACAGGCTTGAGTTCCGAGGCCTCATCAGACTCCTGTAGGAGGGCCTCAGCTACACCATTCTCTATGAACAGGTGCTCTGCACCAACACCTTCAGCTAAGGTCGGCTTCCTGGATTCTTCTTTATCTCCCTTTGAGTGGCACTTTGGTTCTTGGTCTTCTCCCAAGGAGTTTCTGGAAGATGCTGAGCTGTCATCTTCCAGGCCCTCGTTCTGGGAGGACAGGCTGCTATGGGTAAGCTCTGCAGGGGTGATGGTGATTTCTGGGTTTGCTGAGCACAAGCTGGAGGGAGAGGCAGCTGAGTTGGAGATGAGGTTGCAGTCGCCATTGGGCAAGTCACTGAAGCTGAGAGACAGGGGCATTTTCTCCTCGGAGGCCTTTCCATTTTCAAAGATGTCATCAGGTAGATTTGACTGTGGATTTAAGGCACTTCATTATTATTTACAATACAAAGGATGCCTTTGACATGGCTTATTTTCAGGCTAAATGGAAAGTAGTTAAAATGTAAAAACAAAACAAAACAAAAAACCCAGAACATTCATCTTAGCATTTGTTGTTTGTCAATGTGTGTCTCTGTGTGCGTATGTATTTATGTGTTAAATAAAATTTAAATAACTCATTAAAAACTGTTTTCATTGTTAAACCTAGATGGAAATTCATAGGTTTGATATTTTTCCAAAGAGAAGGTTGGGGATATTACTTGTTTTCTAAGTTCCAGGATCTCACAGTATTTAACAGCCATAGTTTTTCCCTTCTTTTTCTTCCCTCCTCCTTTCCTTTCCTTTTCTTTTTCTTTTATTTTGACATCTTAGAAAAAGGCACTTTTCAACATTCAGGATATTTTGTTCCCAAGATGTGAGACTTGGTTCTGCTTGAATTCCCCTAAAAATTATCTTTTGAAAATCTCTTCCCACAAATCGTAAGTTCTTGAAAGGGTTTCATCAGTTTAATATCCATGCCACAAATAATTCAAGCCCAGCAATACATCTGCATAGTTTCTCTAAAAATGCGAGCAAAAAGGCTAATCAATTTGAAACATCCATCTCCCAGGAGGCAAACTCCAGGGCTCTCAGAACTGTCTAGAAGCATAGGCCGTTTCAAGGATACTCTATTTTTCAGGAAGCAAAACTCTGAAGAGAGAAAGGTAAGAAATGTCCAGATAACCAGGCTGGGAATGTAGGTTGATTGGTAGAATGCGTGCCTAGCATGTGCAAGACTGGGTTTAATGTACAGGAAAAAAAAAAAAAGAAAGAAAGAAAAGAAATATCCAGGTAACCAAGATAATTTGTTTATGCCAGGGCTATAATTTCTTTTTTTTTTTTCTTTTTTTGTGCCAGTAATGGGGCTTGAACTCAGTGCTTCGGAACTGCCCCTGAGTCTCTGTTGTTCAAAGCTAGCACTCTACCACTTGAGCCACAGCACCACTTCTGGCTTTTTCTGTGTATGTGGTACTAAGGAATGAACCCAGGGCTTCATGCATACTAGGCAAGCCACATTCCCAGCCCAGGGCTGCAATTTGTAACTCAGATTTCCTTTCACTGTAGTCTGTATGTAGTATCTAAATGCCAAATGTTGCTCTATGGAAATATTTTCTGTTTATTTGAAATTAACTCTTTCAAAATTCCTAATTTTCCGCATTCCAGTTTTTTTTTTTTTTTTTTTGTTGGCTGTGGGGCTTGGACTCTGGGCCTATGTGCTGTCCCTGAGCTCTTCAGCTCAAGGCAAGTGCTCTACCACTTGAGCCACAGCACCACTTCCGATTTTCTGAGTGGTTTTTTGGAGATAAAGAGTCTCCTGGACTTTTACTGCCTGGGCTGGCTTTGTACCTTGATCCTCAGATCTCAGCCTCTGAGTAGCTAGGATTACAGGTGTGCCCAGCTCCAGTTTTGTTTGTTTTTTGTCTTTTTAAACTGGTAAATAGGACTTGAACTTAGAGCTTCATTCTTGTGTGGCTTGTTTGCTCAGGGTTGGCACTTGGCCACATGAGCCATGTCTCCAGCCTGGCTTTTTGCTGGTTAACTGGAAATATAGTCTCATAGGCTTTTCTGCCTGGGCAGGCTTTGAACCTCCATTCTCAGGTCTCACCATCCTAAGTAGCTAGGGTTATGGGTTTAGGACACTGGTATTCAGACCAGATTGTATTGTAGTGTATCATTTATTTTTGCCAGTCTTTGGGCCTGAACTCGGGGCCCTAAGCTCCTTGCCCCTGAGCTCCTTTTGGTCAAGGCGAGTACCACAGCACCACTTTTTCTGTCATTTGAGGTAAGCTTCTGCTGGCTTTGAACTGCAATCCTCATATCTTAGCCTCCTGAATAGTTAGGATTACAGGCATAAGCCACCAGCACCTAGCTCAGATTACATTTTTGAAGTACAGTCAACCCTTTATATCTATGGGTTCTACATCTGCAGATTTAACTAACCATGGATAGAAAATATGGAGGAATCAGTCTGTACCTAACATGTACAGACTTCCTTCTTGTCATTATTCCTTAAACAATATAGTGTAACAACTAATAACAGTGTTTATTGTGGGTCAAGTATTTTCAGTAGTTTAGAGATGATTTCAACTATAATAGGAGGATGTGCTTGGGTTATACACAATTACTGTGACATTTTATATAAGGGACTTAAGCATCTATGAACTCTGGTATCTGAGATGATTCTGGAACCAATTCACTGTAGATAACAGGACTAACTATAAATAGCATCAAACTAATGGTTATTTATTTATTTATTTATTTATCTGTGATGGTATTGGGGCTTGATCTCAGGGCCTAGGCACTGTCTCTGAGCTTTTGTGCTTAAAGCTAGTGCTCTACCACTTGAGCCACATCTCCACTCCTGGCTTTTTGGTGGTTAATTAGAGATAAGAATCTCATGGACTTCTTCACCTGAGCTGGTTTCAAACTGCAATCCTCAGATCTCAACCTCCTAAGTAAGTATGAACTACTGGTGCCCAGCTAAAGATGACTTTTATATGTTTGTGAAGAGCAGTAAACTCCATATATGTATAAATGTGTGTAATTCTATTGTAATCTATTGTATTTCTATGAATTAAAGTATTTGGTGAAAGCATAATAGAATTAACAAATGGTGCAATAACCCATGACTGATAACCCTTTTAACCTCTTTAAAAACAGCCCTGACAAAACTGAGTTAAAATCTTTCTGATTGCCATTTTTTGGGAATCTGGGCTCAACGGTAAGCCAGTTACCTTCTGAAATAACCACCCCCCCCCATGATCTTAATAATTGTTGTTTAAAAAAATGAGAATCTTGTTACCATGGATACCTTTGCCACAGTGGAAAGAGGGGAAAAAAAATCACAGCACAAAAACAGGGATGATGGGACACGAAGAACAACCAAGTTGCATGCATGGCCAAGTTTCCCCACCCCAGGACAGGATAGCTGTCACGGTTACAGAGAGACAAAACAAGACATGCTGAAGGATGCATGCACAGCCCTCCCCCCCACCCCCTTCCACCGGAAGTGGAGCACGACACACCCAGGCAGGCCACACTCACATAGAACTCTAGCAGGGCCTTGGGGTTCAGGCTGAGGGAGGGCAGGTCACTGACAGAGCGGCTGCGATGCAGCTTGGCAAAGAAAGTGTCTCTCAAGGCACTCAAGACAGACAGCCGCACGGGCCTGTCTGGTGAAGGAAGTAACCATCTCTTCAGAAGTCAAGGCAAGATGGGGGGGTTAGTGGAAAGTACCAGGTTACCAGGTTTCATTAGCAACCCTTTCTGATGGACAACAAGGCGGCCATTATTTAGATCCATTGTGTCAAAAGACTCATCTTAAGAGAACATTCAGAAAAGTCTACATGCCACGATCCAGCCATAGGTACAGCAGGGGTAAGGGGAGAAGGAAGGACAGAAAGGTTCATGGCCCCAGTGCATGGGGGCCAGCTGCAGCTGGGAATGTGGTTTCCTTAGATACCACTGGGTCAGGGTGAGTTTACACATGAGATGGTTAGGAATTCTTGAGAATCCCCAACTCCGCTGGTAGGCATTTCAAGTACTGGGTGTGAGCCATGGCTCAGACTCAACATGGTTACTGCAGGGATCACAGTGAACTTACAAAGAAAGAGTGATCTTTGGAGGTGGGTGTTTCCGGGGTGCCCTGGCTGTACATGGACATCCTCCTTTGGAGAGCAGCTGTCTTGTTCCCAGTACCTGAGGAAGGTGTGGTGTCCTCCACATCAAAGGGACTGCAAAACAATAGGTCCTCAGCTAGGCATGTCTGTTAAAGCCATTTATAAGCATCAGGCTGAAAGCCAAGAAATCATCTCTTTATGTTACAATTAACCCAAACAACTGGAAATGGGGCTGTTTGGTTGGGGCCAAATTATTTTGTCAGAAAATAAATCAAGAAAAAAAGAAAAGATGAACGGAAGACTGCCTCTACCTACCTGAGACCACAGACTAATACTAATTTAAACACAATTTATCTATATGTTGTTCTTCCACATGAATATTAGAAACTAAACGTATTTGTGCTTTGCTCCAACATCATGAGATGCTGGAAAGGTACATAATAATGTTTTCTTTTGGTTGGTTCTAGGGCTTGAACTTAGGGCCTGACTGCTCAAGGCTAGCACTCTACCATTTCGCACCATAGCTCCTCTTTCAGGTTTTGGGCGATTCATTGGCGATAGGCTCATGGAGTTTCCAGCCCTGGTTTTGAACCGTGATCCTCAGATTTCAACCTTCTCAGTAGTTAGGGTTACAGGGGTAACCAGTGCCTGGCAACTTTTTGAGCTTTTAGGAACTTTACCCTTTGGGAGATTTTGCGTATGTATGTGCGTGCTGGTAACTGGGGCTTGAACTCAGGGCCTTATACTCCAGTTCGGATTTTTTTTTTCTGCTCAAGGCTGGTGATCTACCATTTGAGCCATGTATCACCAGCTCCAGCTTTTTTTCTTTTCTTTTTTTTTTCTGGTTTATTGGAGATAAAAGTTTCATGGATTTGTCTGCCCAGGATGGCTTTAAATCATGATTCTCATATCTCTGCTTCCTGAGTATCTAGGATTGTAGGCATGAGCCACCAGTGACCAGCTTCTTTTGTCCTTTGTATATCCTCTATTTTAATAAACGGGCATATAGGAACTATATAAAATGTCTGATGTGACATTTTATGTGAAGTATATGAGGTAATTGATAGGCAATGAAAACACCATAATGAGAAGTGGAATCTTCTGAAGTTAGACTATCTCATTATTGGTCAGATTTTTCTTTCAAACTGGTTTAGTTGAGGAACATTTTTTTTTTTCAGTACTGCTGTTTGAACTCAGGACTTCATCCTTACTAGGCAGGTACTCTTACTACTTGAACCACACCTTCCACCCTGCTTTGTGCTGGTTATTTTGAAGATGGAATCTAGCAAACATTCTGTCAGGTTGGTCTATGAATTGTGATCCCTCAGCCCTTAATCTCCCGAGTAGTTGGGAGTCCAGATTGAGATACTGGTACCTAGCTTCAGAGACAGTTAAATAGAGAGATAGGGAGGAATGGAGAATAAACTAATTAAAAATAGGAAATCGAACAGCAGAGTAGTGATGCTAGCCAGGCTTCTCAAACAGCTGCACAGACTCGAGGGCCTGAGATTCTAAGGCAACAGGTCCCCTGAGTCCACTGAGCTGACTGCTCTCTGCTTATGTTGATGGCTCATTCATACACCAGCTCTGAATAGCACTAGCCAATCACATGCATTTCCACCTGATGAACTTGAACAGGGCAACTTACTACCAGGTGATTTCCAGATTCAGTTTGATGGTGCCCAGGTCGTTGATGTCCACAGCCACCACCTGAGGGCGGGCTGCAAATAGCTCTTTGGTTTCACAGGTCACACTGCCTACCAGGATGTGAGTGGCTAGTCCTTTGAGCTCTGTGACCTGTGGTGGGAGCAAGAAGAGAAAAGGGGACTTTGTATCCGTCCCTTCCCCTTACTTCTTTCAGAAGCACACGTGAAATCACAGGTGGCTATTTCAAAAGCCCAGCAGTGGCAGAGTTATGGGGGAAAAGGTTCCCACCCTTGTATCATCCAATCACAACCCCCAGACAATACGGTACCTTGATAGAAATGAACCCAACCACCAAGGGCAGGAAGACAGTTTCTTCTCCATCCCAACTCTGTTTGCCATTGACTTCTATTTTGCCTTTCAGTTTCCACCTCTGCCGGCCATACTTCATGAAAATCTGGGGGAAGACATCAGAGGGCCCTCAGGTTCCACACTGTGCTCCCCCTCCCACCCCAAGTACCAAGATCAAAGCGGGAAGACAGTAAGTAGATGGTGCTCCTCCTTTCCCATCACCCTCACCCTCCATTCCCTGCATCTGGGCTCTTAAGAGGAGCTGATGGGTGGGGAAGTGACTTTCAGGATGGGAGTAAGCACAGAGGGTGTGGCAGGGTTCTTCAGCAGAACAAAGGCCCCCACGTGGTGCCCTTCCATACACTGATGAGCAATGCTTTCTCTAGTTAGTTCTATCCTAATAGAACAGCTATGGATTGGGACTTATTCTCCACAGATTCCAACTCCCTTAGTGAGACAAGAAGCCATCACTAAAAGTTATTTAGCAGTCAGCAGCAAAACATAAAGATATCTCCCCCTGGGTAAGGGAGACAACTAGATAAGGACTTCGAACCTACAAACACTGGGGACAAGGTATATAGTCTCCCCTTGTCCAGATGGTCTTAATCATTATGAAAGGGGATGGATGAAATTACAAAGGGAAGAAATGAAAGGCTTTTTTTTTATTTTGAATACACTTTTTTAAAAAAATGCAGATCTCTGTTATTAGTCTTTAGGCGTAGGATTTAGGATCAATCATGATCATGGATTTGAACTTTGTTACAAAGGACGGTTTGGGGGGAGGGAGGTCACATGGCAAAATATGAATCTAGATTGTGAATCAGCCAAAGTATCAGGGTTAAATTGGTTGTGTAGAAAATTGTGCAATGCTCACATCAAAGACTGTCCTTCTAAGTTGGCAGAAGAACTTAAGAGATGAAAGATCAGAATGTCTACATGTTACTGTGAAATGGCTTAGTAGAATAATAGTTCTATGATAGTCATAATCATAAGACAGCAGAGCTGGGCGCTGGTGGCTCATGCCTGTAATCCTAGCTATTCAGGAGGCTGAGATCTAAGGATTGCGGTTCAAAGCCAGCCCAGGCAGGAAAGTCCATGAGACTCTTATCTCCAATAAAAACCACTAGAAAACTGGAAGTGGCGCTGTGGCTCAAGCAGTAGAGAGCTCGCCTTGAGCTGAAGAGAGCAGGGACAGCGCCCAGGCCCAGAGTTCAAGCCCCACAATCGACCAAAAAAAAAAAAAAAGACAGCAGATACAATATAATATTTACAAAGTGGTGATTGTATTGGAAGAGTATATGGGGAAGTCTTGTATCAATCTCCAAACTTGGCTTAAAATGACTCAGAGAACAAATGCAACTTGGACAAAATAAGCACCACTGCCCTCTAAGTCCTCAAGCCCAACACCAAGACAAACACATGACTTACTTCATATTGATCTCCAGGACAGAGGCGAGCAAAGCCAGCCAGACCTGTAAAAATAAGCAATTAGGTTAGAAGTACAGAGCACATTACCCCTCTTTAGAAACCTAAATTAGCACATTTAAATAACTGAAGTACTCTGTGGAGAAATTTCAGCTACCATTTTTTTGCAAGGCACCATCTGTGGATAACAGCTTTTTTGTGGGGGGGCATTCCACCTATCAAGGTTAGAGAGCCACACTCCTTGCAGGGTGGCTGTTTCTGGGCAGGGGAGATTGGGAGCTTGAGCTCTGTGTAGTATGGGGGCTTGAGCTCTACGTAATATTGGCAGATTACAGGATCAGAAAGATGCAATCATTCATTTACTAACATATTTCCAGGAAAATGAAATGGTCTCTGCTTTTGTTTTGGTCCTCTAAGGTATAGTTTCTAGGCACCCCGTAGTTAAGATTCCATACAATCGCTCCTGTTGCCTCTCCTGGATACACTCAATAGCATTTCTTCAGCATGATGATGCCTGTATCTGCTAGGCAATGAAACTGCTGGAAATGGATTCTTACTGACACAATAGTAGTAATGAAGTAAAGAAAATCAAAGCCAGGAGTCAGGTACTCATTTCTAGAATCCCTAGCTACTCAGGAGACAGATCTGAGGCTTGTGGTTTAAAACCAGCTGTGGGGCTGGGAAGGTGGCTCAGTGGTAGAGCGCTTGCCTTACATGCCTGAGGCTCTGGGTTCGATTCCTCAGCACCTCATAAGCAAAAAGAAAAAAGCCGGAAGTGGCGCTGTGGCTCAAGTGGTAGAGCTAGCCTTGAGCTGAAGAGCTGAGGGACAGCGCCCAGGCCCCGACCGGACCCCCCCCCCCCAAAAAAAAAAAAAACCCAAAAACAACCAGCCGTGGCAGGAAAGTCCATGAGGCTTTTATCTCCATTTAACTAGCAAAAAGTCAAAAGTGGAGTTGTGGCTCAACTGGTGGAGTGCAAGCCTTCAGTGGAAAAAGCCAATGCAGTGCCAGGTCCTGAGTTCAAGCTCCTGTTCTGGCACAAATAAACAAAACAACAACAAAAAAAGGGGCTGACTTGGAACTCCCGATCCTCCTGTCTTTGGCCTCCTGAATGCTGAAATTACAGGCATGTACCACAATGCCTGGCGGTTAGCATTTCTCAAATGCTTTCTATATGTCAAGCATGAGTAATGGTGTGGGAAGATAGAACCAGGTACATCAGGAATGCAAGCAGTCAGCTCCCAGAAGCTTATCAGAAAGCTAAGGTTCACTTTAACCAGCTGTTTGCTGCTCTAGGGGCTAGTTGCTGTAACAATTATAAAGTGAAGCTTTTTACATTTATAGGGAGTGCACAAATTTTATTCAAGGAATTAAAGTTTTTTTTTTTTTTGTCAGTTGTGGGTCTTGAACTCTGGGCCTGGGCACTGACCCTGAGCTCTTCAGCTCAAGGCTAGCGCTCGACCCTACTTCCCCTTTTCTGAGTAGTTTGTTGGAGGTAAGAACCTCACAGACTTTCCTACCTAGGCTGGCTTTAAACCACGATGCTCAGATCTCAGCCTCCTGAGTAGCTAGGATTACAGGGGTGAGCCCCTGTATCTGGCTTAAAGTTTTTGTTGTTGTTGTTTTTTTAAATAAGGAAAAAGTGGCACTATGGCTCACACTTATAATTCTAGTTATTTGGAAGGGAGAGGTCAGGAGGATCGTGTTTTGAGGGCAACCTGGGCAAAGAAAAGTTTTCAAAACTTTATCTCAACAGAAAAAGCTGGGCATGGTGGCATAAACATGTCATTTGCTAAACTAGGAAATATAAATAGGGGATCATAATCCAGGCTGGCCCAGACAAAAAGTGAGACCCGATTCAAAACTAATAAATACAAACAAGGGCAAAAATCTTTATCATTTAACTTTCTAATGAAAAGCAATACAATTTTATGACTAAAATTACAATTACACATTCAGTACAGCCCAGCGATGGAGGCTCTCATGCTTGCAATCCAAGCTATTCAGGAGGTTGAGGGATACAGTTTTTAAAGCCAGACTGGGCAGGAAAGACTGTGAGACTCTTATTCCAATAAAGCACCAAAAAGCTGTGGCTAAGGGAGTAGAATGGTAGTCAAACCTTGAGCACAGAAAGCTTGGGGACAGCAGTCAGACCCTAGTTCAAGTCCCAGGACTGGCACCAGTGTAATAGAATTGTGAGCAAAATAAAGGCAGTATATGACTTCAACTATATATCAACATATTCATAGGAATAATTATAGAAAAATATGCCCAACTGATAAAAAATAATTATGTCTAGTAGGACAGAATTACAGAGAAAGCTAAGTTTTTAGTTTTAGAAAAGATCATTTGGTTATTTTATGATTAAAAAAGAGAAAAAAAAATAAGATTCTAACACACTGGCAGGCAGCAGAACCACACATAAAATGCTGATTGGATGCTTGCAACCATTTAAACAAAATTTAGCCCTGGCTGGAGCAGGCACTTAAGAATTTAGTGTTGGGGTATATTTCTAAATGTTTTAAAAACAAGGCACTACTTTTAAAATGTGACAGTGGAGATCCAAGAAGACACACAATTCTTCCCTGCTTAACCAATAATGTTACACATGCAGCTTGTAGAGGAAATAATTCTGATTAGCTGGCACAAAAAACAGCTCTTTGAGCCTTATTCCTTCACATGTAGAGACATCTGGAAGATGAACTAAATCATTTGGCTCTTTAGCCTTTTCAAGATGCTATTTGTAACCTTCAAGTAATAGTTTTTAAATTAAATAATATTACCCATGTAAAGATAATGAGTTTCACATAATTAGTTTTACCATCTACGAATAGTCCTATTAAGTTATGAGATGATTTTTTTAACTTTTGAAATGGTGGCATTTGAATCCAGGCTCTTGCATATACTAAGCAAGTCCTCTACCACTGTACTATATAACCAAGTCCTAATAGTGAAACTCTTACATGAACAAATGTGATCCTACCTGCCTTAGTACAACTATGTTAAAACTCAAAGATCCAGTCTTGTAAAAAAACCTGTTGTTACCATCTAGTGTCAGTGGATGGCAGCAAGGCACCAGTTTGCATGCTTTCCACACTGAACCCATTAAAGAACAGCTTTCACTAACAATTAGAACCTAAACAAGCCACTTAAAAGAATTTACTGATGAGCCAAATTAAACCTATCGTTACTAATAATCCTGAGGAATTTATTCTTTAAAAAATACTTCTGAAAGAAAGCTTAAGTGGCTGGCTTTTACAAATCCAGAGCTTGACACACTACTTCTAATAAACTCCCAAGTACTTAAAAAAAAACCCTGCAAATTAGTTTAAGATTACTACCATAGCCTGTTTACTGTACAACTACAACAGAAACCTGGCCTGGTATTGAGTAAAGAGGAAAATCCTTTGAAGGTCGTCGCCCTTTTCTAAATTACCAGGAATTTTGTTTCTGAAGCAGCAATATCTGAATTCCCATTCAGGTTATATAATACATTTGTGTTAATAAGGTAACAAAAGCAATCAGGTAACAAAATGGCAATCATCAGAGAAAGTAGAACTGGCCTGGTGCTTCTAAAAGCTCTGCTGTGACAGTGCTCATGGTACTGGCAATACAATTAGCAATGCCAGTGGGCCAGGGGTAGTTATCGCCTGTCCTTGAGGCCTGGCTGGTTTCTTTCAAACGCTGCTCTGTGGTTGGTTGGCATTTGCATAGTTGGCCCAAGCTGTATGTTTTCTTAGCAATTTGGTTATTACTATTACACTGTCTAAGAAGTATTTGTTATGGCTCCTCAAAAACTATGGCAGGGGTAATTTCCCAGGAATAAACATGGGGAGGTGGCAGGTTGGGGGGTAGGGAACCTTTGTACCTATAGTTCTTTTTCGGATGTTTAAATCTGCTCACAGATTATTGGTGCAATAGCTTTTCCAAAGCCTGAACTGCAGGGCTCAGGGCTACACCATGCAGCTACGATTTGGGCTTCCTTTGCCAGAAGCCATTCTACCAGAAGAATGCTTTCCACCATTTTGTTTTCCACTTCTATTGTTAGTTTTCCTCCCAAGAGTCAACACTTCCTACTCTAAGGAAAAAGCAGCCAACAGTCATCCTATTGCAGGCCTTATTGATTTATTGACCAGGCATAGTAATTCAGCTTTCCTTGTGCATTCCAATGGCCTGAGTTGCTTGAAAAGCTGGGAGGGCCTAGCTCTGCCTTTTCGATGCACCCACACACATTACTTGGAGTAATAATCAAGAGGAAAAATCAATTTTCCCTAAGAGTCTGTGTTTCTAAACGGTTAGAGTGTGGGCTGAGGAAGAGGGGTCAAGAGTTTGAGGCCTTCTTGGTTCACTGATATGCATCTAGAGTTCTTTTTAGCTGAGCAGCACTCATGGCTTTTCACAATCTAGCTTCAAAGAACTTTCTACAGCTCTTCTCTCAAGTATTTGAGGCACACTAATTTGTCATTTGGGGACATTATTTCTACTCTTGCCCCCTTCCGCCCCCCCCCCCCCCCCCAGCAGTCCTGGCCCTTGAACTCAGGGCCTGGGCATTGTCCCTGAGCTTCTTTTGCTCAAGGCTAGCACTCTACCACTTGAGCCACAGTGCCACTTCTGGCCTTTTCTGTTTATGTGGTACTGAGGAATAATCAAACCCAGGGCTTCATGCATGCTAGGCAGCCACATTCCCAGCCTAATTTCTACTCTTTGATGAATGGTATTCCAGTCTTCCTGGTTCTAAGAATTCCATTGGGACAGCCTTCCTCCTCTCCAGCCTCATTCTGGTGAATTGCATTTTCCTTTCTGTCTTGCCTACTTTCTCTCCCTCCATCTCTTCTTTCCAAGATGGAGTCTTTCTATGTAATATAATCCAGATTGGCTTCTGACTCTTGACATACCCCTCCCCCCCCATTCCACATCAGCCTCCAACCTCGACTCCTTTGCCTACTCAGGATTCTAGTTATTTACTAGTCCATTTGGTTATCCAAGCCATGGAATTAGAAGGCACTCATCCATACATCCACTTTCTCCAGTGGGGAATGAGGCAGGGACTATTGAGAAGGAGGCACCCAGTGCCTGGCCAGGAGCAGCTGCTCAGGAAGTGCTTGCTCAGCTCTCTATCCATCTCCCTTCCTCCCACCCCCCTCCCACCCAATCACCTTCCTGGCCCGGCTGTCAGTTGTGTTGGGGGAGGGGCCAAAAGGGAAGTGTGGATGGGTGTGGTGACAGGAAGCTAAAGGATGCCAGGTTCAAGGATGTTATAAAACAGAGTGTTGGGGGTACTTTTTTTGTTTTATCAGAATCGAGAACAGAGGAGAAAGCAGCACAAGAGAGCTATCTTGGCAGCACAAGAGCAATCCCTTTTCTGGAGGGAGAAGAGAATTCCAAGGGGGTACTGCCCTTCAAAAGGCTTCACAGATGGAGTGTCTGAGTTCTTAAGCTAGATTAGGAAAGTGGAGCTGACAGAAGTCTACCAATGGAAAAGGAGAAAAATTCATTTCAGGTCTGGGAGACTCCTGGAGTTCAAGTGGAAGTTAAGGAAGAAGGTGAGGCAAGCAAGATGGACAAAAAAAGGGAGAGATAGGTCAACAGAGACTCCCGCAGTCCACCATGATATCTCATAGGTACCAAACACATTCAGGAGCTGGGTGGTCAGATTACCCTCCCCCACGCCCAGGATGGCAGGGTTCCAGTCTCATTCCCTCACTCACTACCAGGCCTGAGGTTGATTGGGGAAGTAGGAAGTATCTTTACTTTGCCTTTCTTCTGGGGTACCTGTGTGCTAGACTGAAGGACACCTCCCCTAGGAAAGATCATGAGCTCTGGTTAATAGTATCTGCTTAGCTGCTAGAACTTCCTCATACTGTAGGGTGGAGGGTGAGAATGCATTAGGAATCAAGAGTCCTGGAACTGAGTTTCAAGTGTGACGCCACCTTACCGTATTACTTCTGAGAAATCACGTAACCTCTCTGGGTTCCCATTTCCCATCTCTAAAATAGAGAACTTCTGCCTCTCACCAAAAAATCGTGTAATAATGATCATCGGAAATGGGGGGAGGAGGGGCTGGGAGTGTGGCTTAGTGGTAGAGTGCTTGCCTAGCATGCATGAATCCCAGAAAAAGCCAGAAGTGGCTCTGTAGCTCAAGTGGTACAGTTTTAGCCTTGAGCAAAAGCAGCTCAGGGACAGTGCCCAGGCCCTGAGTTTAAGCCCCAGGGCTGGCAAAAAGAAAGAAAGAAAGAAAGAAAGAAAGAAAGAAAGGAAGGAAGGAAGGAAGGAAGGAAGGAAGCAAGCAAGCAGAAAGAAGGAAAGAAAAGAAAGAAGAAGGAAAGAAAAGAAATGGGGGGAGGAGGAGCATGCAACGTACTTCACAATGATGTGTGCCTTTCTCGCTGGCTCTAAGACTGTGCTAGTGTGCATGTGCGGTGCCCAAGGACAATGGCTTTCCAGAACCAAGTTGCCAAAGTATCATACTGAACGTTTAAAACCCCCAAAAAACTATTCTATGGGCCCATCCTGGCTCTCTAGACTAAGGCTTCCTGGGAGGAAAGCAGCCTGATTGATTTTAAACCACTGAGTCAAGTGGTGGTGGTGGTGGAGACTGAAAAGAGTGCACCTAAAAAACTAGAAAGGTTCACACTCAGTAGGAAAGTGCTGAGGTTTAACACTAATGAACAAACTCAGATCTCATTCATTACTAGATCCCTTGGCTGCCCAGGGTGAGGTTGATTTTGTTCCAGGTAAACTTAGAGGTTCTCCTGGGTGAGGCACAGTTCTTACAGTCATTTCCCTCCCCAGTTAGATGACTCATCTACAAATGAAGATCTCCTGTTGAGCCCTTAAAAAAAATGTCTCCCTTCTTTACTCCCTTAATTGTAGAACAGAGAAAAGAATGCGATTAACTCTCCATTAGCAACTCAGGGATCATGCCGCTACACTGGCTCAGACAAAGAATGGCCCTCTCAGCTTCCAAGAGCCCAAACTGGGGAAAGGAATGGACTTGCCAAAGTGGCTGCTTATTTGACAGCCATGCCTAGACACAGAGCTGCAACTGACCACACCAGAGCCAAACTCTGTTGTGTGAAGCCAGACTTCCTTTTTGTCCTGAGATGCTGCTTAAATCAACGATGCTTCTAGATTGGAACTTTCTGGAATAAACACCACAAGGTCAGTCCTCTTTGGGTTTAACACCAAGAATCAACGTTGGTAGTGGGGGTGTAAATGAATAATTTAAATGACAGTACAAAAAAAGCCAACAGATATGAGCAGATGAGAAGCATGCTGCACAGCAGGGCTTTCCAGAACAAGTCAATTGGTAGGAAAAGTGGGAGACTAGGGCTTATCTGAGATGAAAGGAAACCTAAAAGGTATGCATAACAAGTAATTACAACGCAAGGGCTCTGTAGCCTCACTTAGGCAAAGCAACTGCACAGGGCATTTTTGAGGCAACTGGAGAAATTTGATAATAAAATCGGTTACTCACCAAAGGCTTGCTCATTTTGTAAGTTGGTGACAGGCCTGGGGTTATATAAGAAGTTGGCCCTATTCCTTAAAGGATGCACACAGAGGTATGCAGGGCAGGCTGATTGACATATTTGGGTGCTTGTTTCTTTTCATCAAAGAGAAATCAAAAGTAAACAGATGAAGCAAACACAGCAAGACTTTGCTAATTATTAAATCTCGGTGATGGATTTATGAGGGCTCACCGTAATGTTCTCTTTACTTTGGTGTATGTTTGAGATTGTGTCATAACATATGCTTTTAAGTGAAAAGGCAAGACTCAAGATGAGAGGCATCAATACACGAACAGAAGTAAGGAGGCCTGAGACGGGGGTGGTACTGTCTTGGTAAGGAAAATCAAAATAGCAGGTACTCTCAAACTTGAGAGCTCTCAGCAGAGATAGCGTCTTGCTGTCTCTAATGAAAGATTACCTTTCATCTTGATGGAGAATTCTCCCAGTAGATTCTCGAGCTCCGCTTCAATGGTGCACATATTCTGGGAAGAGCAGAGGAGATGGCATTAGAGCTAGCTTTTCTTCACATAGCAACTCAAAACATATCACCCAGCAACAGGAAAGCAACCATTACTTAAGCTATAGGAGATACTTAGGTGTTCCCAATGAGTTGCCCAGCAAAGGATGTGTTAGGACAAATATGAACAAGGTATATGATACTAAAAGCATTCTGACAAACCCCAAATGTAGGATATTCTCTAAGATCTGATCTAGACCCTCCAACAAAGGCAGAATCATGGGAGGAAATTCTAGGGAAAGAGACTAAACAGATAAGAGAACCAACATTTGATCATACCATCATTGGCAAGATAAACAAGTAACCTGAAAATTTAAAAAGCACTATTTCATCAAATAGGGAAAACTTGAAAATGGATAAGTCACCTGCTGACTGTTAATTTTCTTAGCTGTACAAGGCTATGTGTGTGTGTGAGCTGATGATGCATTCATATGTAGGCTACTCTGAAGAGATCTATACTATATATTAAAGAGGCTGCATGAGCCACTGTGGAATGCAGACTTATTTCATAGCATTATATAACACATGCATTATTTTACTTGTCATCAAAAATGAACAAAGCAAAGATGCATGCTAAAATTCTTATGAGGTAAAATATCATGATGTCTATTATTTATGGTCAAGTGGCAGAAGAAAAAAACTGAGTACATGAGACAGAGAAAAGTGAATGTGGAGGACATGTTACCAACTGGGTAATCTATATAATCTGTGTATGATGTTCTATATAATTACATCTATTTATTATTTGTTCATTGCAAATTTATTATTTATTGTTAAACTCCAAACCTGGCACTTGCTAGGCACACAAAATAATCCTAGGAATTGTCCAACATACCCTCATCAAGCGAGTGACTTCATTCATGATATCTGATCTCTGAATAAAGACTGAAGGATAGTGAGAAGTAGGGCTTTAATAATTTAGGCTCTTCCTAAAGGCACTGTTAATAGCTGACTCCAGGAGGAGTGAAGATCTTTGTGTCAGACACTTAGGCCTCAGAGACCATCAAAAACCAGAAAAACACACTTCAGTTCCTGGTTCTTTATCTCATCTCCTTTAAGATAAAAAAAAAATAGTGCTCTCTCTCTCTCTCTCTCTCTCTCTCTCTCACACACACACACACACACACACACACGTATAAAACTGTAAGGATGGTTTCTGATATCCAACACTGACAGCAGGAACAGCCATCTTACCCACAGGGTCTGTTCAACCTTCAGGAATAAAACTAGATGAGGCTAGAGATTATTTGAAAGTGCAGTTAAATGACAAATTTTAGGGCATTATGCCTAATTTTATTTAAACAGTTCTACTGATGGTCTTGCTTGCATTATTTATTTCTTTATTTTTAGGCTAACAATAAAGCTTATCTCTCTAGAGAGTGGAATGAGGTTGTGAGTTGCTGTTCTCCTTGTTTTGTTTTCAGCAGTGGCCTATGAATCAAATCAGCCCCAGGGTGGTGGTGGTGGTGGTGGGGGGTCTCGAATCTAAGCAGGTCAGCAGTTGGTACCTCTGTGTATTCTTTGTAGCTCCGGTTGATCTCTGACAGGCTCTCTCGGGCAGCCTTGCTGGCAGGGGAAGTGGCAAAGGCTTGCTTCATTTTGCTGGCACCATCTTGGAGGCGTCGTTGGATACAATAAGCTTCATAGAGTTCATCTACCTGCCAGAATCAAAACAGGAAACACAAAGATTTAAATATCTGTCATGCTTGGAAGAAGTCACACAGATCATTGGTATCTGCTAAAGGCACTTTTTTGTCCTCTGCAAGGAGGATGTGTAGAAGCATTATTCACTTAAGAGACTAATATTTCTATTTTCACCACTGTCATCTATTTTCTGTCTCAAAAACGCATTTTATTCTGATCCCGTTTCCAAATTGTACAAAATGAAAATCTCCCCCCCCCACCCCCACCTCTTTGAGGCTATTGTTGTAGTTGTTTAAAATGACTTGGGTTGATTTGTTCATCTATAGTGGACTAAGACAAGAAAGACCAGAATCTTCTATATATGGAACAAACACTGGAAGAGGTTATAGTTTTATACTTAGGTGTAAATTTTATAGTATTTAAGGTTAACATTACTTTATTTTTAAGAGGTATTGTCTCAAGGTGATATTTACACATCTAGATTCAGTGATTTTTAAAAAAGAACTTGGGACCATGCATTGAAAACAAAATCACTTTTTTTGGTGTTATGGGGTTAGAACTCAGGGCCTTTCCACTCAAGCCACACCCCCTTCCCCAGTTCTACTACTCTCAGATAAGGTCTTACATTTTTGCCCTAGCTGGCCTTGGACCATAATCCTCCTCCCACTGAGCTAGGATCATATGCCTGTAAATTCCTGTGTATAAATCATATCGTAATTTTAAAAATAAACTGAAAAAAGAAAAGAAACGTTAACTTGGCTACCTCTCTAAATCTATGTTTCTAAATAATGATATGCTGTTTCAAATGACTATTGGTTGTATTCATTACATAAATCTGATAATCATGTAACACTTCTAAGGCAGTGATTCTCAGTCTAAATTGATCTTTGAACTTCAATGATCTAACAGCATATATTGAGTAAAAGCAAGGCTGTGGGTGTGTATCTTTTAATGCTGAGGACAGCACCCACAACAAAGAATTCCTCTAATGTACCAGGAGGGCTGAGATTGGAAAACCTTGTCCTAAATTTATTCCGCCTGATGTTTATCTCTATAGAATTACGTTGTCTTCAGTTATGCATGCACTAAACCAAGAGCCATTAGCTACAGGAATTTCGGTAGATTAAAAAACGGACCATATGATCCAGCCACTGGCAAAAGCAAATGAATCCTATTACTTTGGAAAGGCAGGTTCCTATCTAGAACTATCTGAATTTTTATTTTCGTATTAACTTTGTTCTTTCAAAAAAGGCTTCCATTTGATCTAGAAGAGGGCAAGATATGTAGGTAGGCAGCCATTGTGTTTGATCCTCTGAAGCTGAAGAGTGGAAGACCCTAGATTTCAGACTAGATTCTCCCTTTGGCACTTCAGGCAAACTTTTAGCCACCCATTAAAAATTATTCCTACTACTAGCTGGAATATAAATGTTACAATTGCTTCCTCCATAAATAGGTCAGTGGTGTTTACAATGTGAAAGGTTGAGACCAAAAATTATTGGTTCAAGAGAATAATTCTTTGTTGCTATTTAGGTCAGTTTTGCTGAGGGGAATGCCTACATTCTGAAAAGAATAATCTTTATTCTTCCTGGTCAATAGATCTACCTCTAGTTAAGAGGGAGAGATGAGACTGAAAAGTGGGCAGATCTGTCCATAAGATCTTTTGATGAGTGTTTTCTGTACTTAAAACTAAGTAAGCTAAGACTTGTCAGGTGAGCTTGTTAAAATGCTGAAGTACAGCCCCACACTGAGATACTGAGTTGTTAAGTCAGGGCTAGGCTAGGAATCTAAAATTTTAGATGAATATTGTAGATTCTTCTGATGAAACTTAACATTTAGTGTTCATACCTTTTCCACAATACCTTCTTACAGGTGTTTTTTGTTTTTGTTTTTTCCTCCAGTTGTGGGGCTTGAACTTGGGGCCTGGGTGCTGTCCCTGAGTTCTTTTGCTCAAGGATAGTATTCTACCACTTTGAGCTACTACTACTTCTAGTTTTCGGTGGTTAATTGGAAATAAGGGCCTCCCAGACCCCAGGCTGGCTTTGAACCTCAAGCCTCAAATCTGAGCCTCCTTAGCTAGGATTACAGGTGTGAGTTACCAGTGAATGGCCAGATGTTATTTGTTCAGTGTGGCAGAGATAAAACCAATTTTAGGTTTGCCTCAGTAACAAATATTTTTCAAAGTGAGAATACAAAAGTACTTATATATACATACATATACATATACATACATTTACACATTAGAAATATACATACTTATATACATATATGTATATATGTATTAAGCAAGATCTGCTAAAACCTTCAATCCTCTTACTTTGAAGACAGGTGCATGGGTATGGATAGAAAGCGTACTGTCAATGGTTTTCCCAAAGGGAAAACTTCTCTGCCTTACACTCTGATAATTTCTGATTGTGCCCAGAACGAAGGGTAGATAGTACTATAGATCTCAGACAAGTTGGACCAGCAGTTAAACATTTACAGAATTCAGGAAAGGATATGTGGAATGTCATCTTCCATATAAGAAAGAGTGGAAGGAACCATGAACCCAAGAAAGATCTAGGGAAAGCACATGAATAACCAACAATCTTTAAGTAATTAAAAGGTCTTCATCCAGAAGTTTCTGAGCTGGGTGCTGGTGGCTCACACCTGTAATCCTAGCTACTCAGGAGGCTAAGATCTGAGGATCATGGTTCAAAGCCAGCCTGGGCAAGAAATTCCAGGAGACTCTTATCTCCAATAAACTACTAGAAAACCGGAAGTGGCGCTGTGACTCAAGTGGTAGAACGTTCGCCTTGAGCTGAAGAGCTGAGGGACAGTGAGTGCCCAGATCCAGAGTTCAAGCCCCAGGACCGGAAAAAAAAAAAAAAAGAAGTTCCTGAGACATAAGAGAGTAAAGTTAGTGGAGGAAGCAGCTTTGTTGTAGATAGTGTGGTTCCATCTTATCTCTAATTGCACTACACTGAGAATGCAAGCCCTCTAGGACACATCATGCCCGCTATAAGGAAGCACTTAGGAAATGACTACAGAACTGAAGTAGAGCCCAAACTGGGTTAGCTTATTGGGCTTTATATTCTTATTTTCCCTGCATCTATGCTGCCTATTGAAGGCCATAACTGCTAATCAGCTTAGGAGTCAATTGGATAAGAAAGTCTCCATAGACTGGATGCTATATTCTGTCCAAAGGTATACTGATCCATTACTGAGGGCTACAAAACAGAAGCAAAGACAACAGGAACTTCAGTTACCTTACTAATGTGAAACTCCAGGCGTCTCATGTATCGTTCAATTGTTTTAATTTGCTGGAATTAAAAGACGATGGTTAAGAAAAGTACAGCCATACACAGTTCAACTGACCGAGATCTGTGATAATATTTTTTTATTATCTCATAGGCAAAAGTACCAGGAGGCACTAAGTATTTTCTCCTTTCCTACCATTTTTTGTTGCTATTTCAGACATGATCGAATATCAATTTGGAAACGATTTTTCAAAATATCCAATATTCTGAGAGATGAATTATAATCCTGTGTTTACCTGTAAGGGAGTCCAACCTAGTGGATTGAATTGGATTTCCAGCAGGGAAGTATTATTTCTTCACAATATTACACACACACACACACACACACACACACACACACACACACACACAAATATCTTTTTATGGCACTACTATCTTTTTATGGTTTGAACTTGGGTTTGAGCTTGAGTTTGAACACCTGCTCAGTTTGCTGTACTAAGCTGGTACTCTATTACTTGTCATGCCTCTAGCCTAGATTTTTGCTTATTATTGTTTTTTTTTTTTTTTTTTTTTTGTCCAGTCGTGGGGCCTGAACTCTGGGCCTGGGCACTGTCCCTCAGCTCTTCAGCTCAAGGCCAGTGCTCTACCACTTGAGCCACAGCGCCACTTCCAGCTTTTTTCTTTTTGCTTATGTGGTGCTGAGGAATCGAACCCAGGGCCTTGAGCATGCAAGGCAAGCGCTCTACCACTGAGCCACCTTCCCAGCCCTTTGCTTATTATTTTTGAGGTGGAATCTAGCAGTTATTAATGCTGGGCTGGCTTCAAACTATGATTTCTGCCTCTAAGTCATTAGGATTAGAGACATGAGACACCAGCTCCCAGTTTTATCATAATCTGTTTTATTTGCTCTAAATGGGCCTTTTTCACATTTTAGTGTCTCTGAAATTGGGGTGCGTTTTGTAATTGCTCCTGGCCAAGTGGCAGGTAGTTGCCCATGCATGTTCACAGAGAATCATAGTTGCACATATGCCATCTCTGCTTTATAAATATTGTTATGACATAATTGCCCTTTAAAGTATCTTCAAAAAGAGTACACTATGATTCAGCATTGAAATTATTGTGTACACAGCAAGGCGTGGCAAGAGAGCAACCCTAATATACAACCAAAAACAAAGAATGTCTCAGTCTACAAAAGTTTTGTTGGTAAGAATATAAATATTACATGAAAACAAGTTTAGCTGAAAATTTTATGCTTTGAATGGCACTGATATAAATGTGATATTTTCCCACCAAAGTCAACTTAAGTATGATTAAAAAATATATAATGTAGCTAATATTTAAAGATAGCATAAATAAACGGCTTCAAACATTTGGGAAGTTTTTAAATTTGTATAAATACTGAGAAACACTATAATCTAGAAGCATTTTTCTGGACTTGAACTTAAACACTTCACTGAATATATATATCATTGCACATATTCATCATTATTAGACAAAATTGTGATTTTTTCCCCAAGATTAGAAAACACCTGTTCTCTAAGTGTGTGTGTGCGTGTGTGTGTGTGTGTGTGCGTGCGTGCGTGCACGCGTGCCAATACTGGGGCTTAAACTTAGGGCCTTGGGCTCTTGTTTAGACTTTTCTGTTCTCGGCTGCCACCCTACCACTTGAGCCATAGTTCCACTTCTGGCTTTCTGCTAACTGAAGATTTAAAAAAAAAAAATCTCATGTGCTTTTCTGCCTGGAATGGCTTTGAACCATGATCCTCAGATCTCAGCCTCCTGAGTAGCTAAGATGACAGGCAAGAGCCAGCAGTGTTGCCTTCTCTGAGACTTTACTATCCCAAAGAGGATTTCATTAACATCTACACAAAAATGCAGTTTTATTTTTTAACAACATCCCAACACAGAATGATAACTTACCTTATCTAGGTCATACAACACACCCTAAAATCAAAGAGAAGTACATCAATTAAAACATGTTTTCCTCAAAAATGCTATCAGTATTAATACAGTAGCTGAATCTGCCTTCTACTCTTAAATAATGATTACTCCACAAAGATCAACTAGGTATTTTTGACAGTTCTTCAAAAGAGTAAAATCCCAGTACAATAAGACTATTTGTGTATATGTGTGTGTGTGTGTGTGCACATGTGTGCGCATGCTCGTGAGCAAACATATAGGTGTCATATAGACACTTCTAGTGCTTTCTGATGCCTGAACATGTTAAGGTGAAATAGAACAAAACCAATAAAATAGGATAGGCATTCAAATACCTCTACAACAAGATGAATCCTCACAAATTCATTAAACTATGGGAAATTCACAATGTATCATATAATCAAACTGGCCAAATTACTCCTTTACCTTTGCATTTTAGCTACCTCTTTGAGTTTCATCTTGCCTGGCATCACTGACCTTTCTTCTTAAAGCATGACAGAGTAAGTAAAAGCTTTGAATTCTGAATGTTCAAATAGTATGCGAGGGAAAGTCTAATTTACCACATGGTATATTATTTGGGAGAAAGATTTAAGAGTGTTTTTTTTTTTTTTTTGGGTCTGGTCGTGGGGCCTGAACTCTGGGCCTGGGCGCTGTCCCTCAGCTCTTCAGCTCAAGGCTAGCACTCTACCACTTGAGCCACAGCACCACTTCCGGCTTTTTTCTTTTTGCTTATGTGGTGCTGAGGAATAGAACCTAAGGCCTCACGCATGCAAGGCAAGCACTCTACCACTGAGCTACCTTCCCAGCCCTAAGAGTGTTTTTTTTAGGAAGGTTTTTTTTTTTTTTTTGGTCAGTCCTGGGGCACTGTCAGGCCTGGGCGCTGTCCCTGAGCTTTCTTTGCTCAAGGCTAGCACTCTACCACTTGAGCCACAGCTCCAGTTTTGGCTGGCCATCACTGCTGCTGCTGCTGCTGCTATTGCTGCTACTGCTGCTGCTCCTCCTCCTCCTGCTCTTCTTCTTCTTCTTCTTCTTCTTCTTTGTAGTTAATTAGAATTAAGAGTCTCATGGGGGCTGGGAAGGTGCTCAGTGGTAGAGCACTTGCCTTGCATGCATGAGGCCCTGGGTTCAATTCCTCAGCACCACATAAGCAGAAGAAAAAAAAAAGCCAGAAGTGGTGCTGTGACTCAAGTGGTAGAGTGCTAGCCTTGAGCTGAAGAACTGAGGGACAGCGTCCAGGCCCAATGTTCAGGCCCCATGACCGGACCAAAAAAAAAAAAAGTTTCATGGGCTTTCCTGCCTTGGTTGGCTTCAAACTATAACCCTCAGATCTCAGCCTCCTGAGTATCTAGGATTAAGAGTCTGAGCCACTGGTTCTTGGCTTCAGAAAGTATCTTTCTCTGGTTAAAAAGTCTATCTTCATAAACATATTTAGAAAATACTAAAATGTATTAAGAATAAAACATTAATCTTCCTTCTAAAATACACACCAGGATGCAGTTAGTACTTTGCCCCTGGGTTTGCTTTTCATCCCCATCCAATAAAAGGAGAGCCTAAGCCCAAACACCCAGTGTTCAAATCCTAATGGCTGGGTGGAACCTACCAGGCGGGAGTTCCTTTTCATATCCTTTAGCTGAGCTGTCAACTTCTCCAACTCCATCTGGTGGACCTCCAGGTACTCACTGCCAAGGGAAGCCAAGACATCATCATGAACTCACATTGTGAAGAGGAGGCCTGGTGGCATTGTTGCCTTTTTCTTTCTGAAGGGAGGTCAAGCATCAGAACCTTGCTCCGTGGTTAGAGAGGAGGAGGCTTTGTGTTTTCCCAGTCTTTCAACATTTTGAAAGCTCTTGCAGTTACATCAGATATGGCCAGCTTGTCAAAAAGGAGACCCTCCCACCAGTAAAGCTGACAATCCAGAAATGAATATTGGGGGGGTGGGTAGAGGGAGGGAAGAAGCAAGAACTACTTTGGGTCAGCCTGGAGTCCGGACTCAAAAGAATTCTATCTAGTTCAATACAACACTGAATGTAGATGTTGCAATGTCTCACTGAATGCTAGGAAAGTTATTCTGGGGAACTAATCTTGTACACTATATATTATTTAGTAGATATATTCATACAATAGGCTCAAGGAGTATATTGTGTAAATGAAGTTCAATATTCCACAGTTAAGCATAAACACATTAGTGCTGCAAATTTTCTTCATGGTTGTGATGTTCTTCAATGTATATGATTTGGAATCCCAATATACTTTGCATCTTTGGGAAACATTCAAGATTACAATACCTTCTACACCAAGAATGGGGAATGTCAGGCCTGAAGGCTGTAGAAGGCCCCTGTAATCATTGGGTCTGGTCCAGCCAAAAGCAATTGCAAGCAGGATTCAACATTTATAATGTCTAGTAGCTTTTCTCATTGTGGCATACATGTCAATGGCAGCTAACACCACACATCTAACCAGAGAGAAGCAGTCCCAGCCACCCTGCTAGAGATGAGTTAATTAAATGTTTGACCCAAGAGAGCAGGCTAATCTTTAAATGGATACTTTTGCATGGCCTGGGAATGATGTTATAAATATCTAAATGGCCCTTGGCAGGAAAAAATTTTCCTTCTTCTGTACAACACAAATAGCCTTTCAAAAATGATCTTTAAAAAGAAACAAAACTAGCTTTTCTCTGAACTCCCCACTCCTTCCCCTTGGTCATTTTAGAAAGGAAAAAGGTTTCCTTTTTTCACAAAAAATATAATAATAATGGCATCATTAGGGCCCGATGTTCTTACTCGAGTCCATTTTTCAAGGCTCTGTAGACCTCCTCCACTCTTTTAGGCTGAGGCTCTTTAGGAGGGTTGTTATTTTTGTGTCCTAAATTGTGCATTTTCTTCAGCTTGGCCTGAGGCTTCTTGAGAGCAGTAGCATTTTCAATGAAGGAGTTACACCTGTGGAACAAAGACAGAAAAAAATGTGAGCCTCTGGCATCTAACTAAAAAAAAAAAAAAAAAAGATCTGACCAAAGAAATACCTTTCAAATCATCTTAAGGTCATATGAATGTCCTATAGGTGCAGATCTGAGCCATGAACACTTAGTTTCCTGCATTCGTTTTGGTAACTGCTGAACTCTGAAAGCTTTGCTCAGCTAGAGCAAGGCCCGGCTTCTGGTGCCCTCTGAGGACACACTGAGCGCTTCACTAAATCCTCAGACAGGCAGAGGGAAAACCACGCCCACTAAACAAAATGCTCCCTGTGCCATAGCAGATACAAACTCCTATTCAATTTGACTAGGAGGTAAGTGACATCTTTTATGATAACCATAAGCAAGACAAATGACTAATTCCATATGGCATTGAAAAAAAATCACATGCTGCTGTATTGACAGTTTTCTTGAAAGTTATAGTGTATGTAATTTTGTGTAGGTATATGATAAAAATTCAAAACCTATACTAATGGGAGGATGCCAGGAAAAGAGACACTGGATTATTTAAACACAAGATCCATCTGATTCTGAGGCGAGGAGGCCAGATAGCTCCCTGACAGGCTCTCAGTAGGAAAGTGGAGGTATCAGAAATGGACAGGGGCCAGTCATGGCTCTTCACCTCCACGACTGGATATTAGTTCTGCTCTTCGCCATCCCTGGGTACAGCAAATGGGACTGCTGCACAGGAGGTCCCTCAGAGCAAGATCTATGACATATCAGAAAAACTGAAGCTCATTTCTGTTGCATGCTATCTGCTTCCTCTGTGGCTTTCCTTGATTCAGAGGGAGAAGATTCCAGGGGCAATCCCTATCTGAACATAAGCCCTCCTGAGCTCCATTGGTAGTCATAGTCTTTACTGAATTATCTTCATGCCAAACCCAGTCTCTGAAATTGAAAAGTCATAGAAAAATGTGTTTCCAAAGGAGGAAGGGGGGGAAAACGGATCTACACATAGATGGCTAGTTTATCCTAAATCCTCCGGCAGGCATCTTCTTTGCAAGAGGAATTCGGAATAATAGAAAAGAGGTGGTAGCACGTCATCTGGATCAGACATGAATGAGTATGTATGCGTATGCACAGGTGTGCCTTGGCTACACTACCAAGCCTAGACTGACCCTCTAGAGCAGATCAGGGCCCACCTCCCCAAGCTAGAACCCACGAAAGACACACAGCCCTTACCTGGATCGCCGCTCCTGCAGACCGCTGAAACCTGCGAAGGACTGGCTTCTAATGATCCCATTGGGCCCACCGGGCGAGAAGGACTGGGGTCCTACTAACATGATTTCTGGCAGTCTGGTTGGCAGTCCTATAAGATAGTGGGAGGCCATGGCAATTTACAGGCAGGTTCAGACAGAAAACGCACTGAGCATGTCAACATGTCCAAGGTGTGACAAGGTAGAGTGACTCACAGGGTCCTTGTCACGAGAGTCATGAGATTCTTCTGCGATTTTTGCCTGTAGCATCGTTTTTTTGTTGTTGCATTTTTTTAAAGCCAAAGGGTTAGAAAAAAATACAGACTTATTTAAAACAAAATGAGAAGGGCACAAAATGATCAATTATTTTAGATTTTCTTGAGGAATTTTTTTTTTTCACCAAAGATGAGAAAGAACTCTTTCAACTGTTATGCCTAACCAACAACAGTAACAACAAAAGGGTACAAACAAGCCACTGCCAACATGAAATTCAAAAGACAGACAGACCTACAGGTAGAATTCTACACTTAGAAGAGTCATGAGGCTAGAAGCACAAGGTCTCTCTAGGGATGAACTTACTTCAGCTTCTTCTCTCTTTCTGGCCTTAAGTGTATTTTGAAAGATAAGATTGTGCCACTACTGTGGCATTGCAAAGAGGCTAGAACTAGTGCTTACAAAAGAAGTGATCATCTAGGTTAGATAAGAAGGCCAGAGAGGGAAGAAAAGGTAGGAGGAGAATAACAGAGAAGACACACAATCCTTACTTCAGTTGCTGGCTTGGTTTTTGTGAGGACTCAAAATAACAGACCAAGATGCAGTGTCAAAACACCCCTTGGCTGGACAGAAGCCCAAAGTTAGCTCCCCGCCAAAGAATTGCCCTAGAACTGTTGGTAATTCTACTCTGGCTAGATTAGGCAGAAACAAAGCAGCTATCACCGTCTCAGCAGAAGAGTTTAGGACTGAAGCCTTCCAAAGTGGGCAGATGCCCAACTGGCATGTTTGAGACTCATCTACAGTTGCCCTTTGAAAAACCAATAGAAAGCCAGGCATGGTAGTGCATGACTGTAATCCCAACACTAGGGTGAATGAAGGTCAGCAGAGAGCAAAAATGCAAAATCTATCTGAGCAATAACTAAAGCAAAAAGGGGGGTGGCTTCAAGTGGAAGACCCATGGGTTCAAACCCAAGTACTTGTCAAAAAAAAGTGAACAAAAATTTAAAAGCAAACAGCTAGGCCTCAAGTGTCTCTTGCCTCTAATCCTAGCTACCCAGGAGGCTAAGATCTGAGTATCCAGATTCAAAGTCAACCCAGGCAGAAAAGTCCCTGAGACTTCCAACTATCTAGCAAAAAGTCAGAAGTGGTGCTGTGGCTCAAGGGGTAGAACACTAGTCAAGGGAGAGCTGAAGGCCTTGAGTTCAAGCCCCAGTATTAGCACAAAAGACCAACAAAAACTCCACAGCCCTTCCCTAACCAACCAACCAAAAACCTAGCCCCAGCAGAAAAAAAAGCTAAAATACAGTAACATCCACTCCCCAATGCCTCTGCTGAGTTTACGAATCCCCTTTCTCTCCAGGGAAGTGCAGTTCTGGGATTTGTGAGTATCCTGGGCAGGGCACAGGTGCTAACTGGTTTGGGATTTCATTCCCAATTCCTTTAATTCCTCAGTGAGGTTCCCACAAGCGCCCCTAAGTGGTTACTAAGTTGTCTCTATATCACTAAGGCCATCTTGGGGCTTGAACTCTGGGCTTGGGTGCTGTCTCTCAGATCTTCAGCTCAAGGCGAAAGCTCTATCACTTGAGCTACAGTGCTACTTCGGGTTTTCTGGTGGTTTATTAGAGATAAGAGTCTCCCGGACTTTCTTGCCTAGGCTGGCTTTGAACTGTGATGCTCAGATCTCAGCCTCCTGAGTAGCTAGGATTATAGGTGTGAGCCACTGGTGTTTGGCTATCCTGTGCTATTATATCCCTTGCAAGCTTCTAATAAAAATCAAGAAAGTGCTGTGGGACTTAACGTTCTTTCTGTATCCCCAAATTTCTTCTTCTTCTTTTTTTTTTTTTTTTGTAATGCTGGGTAGGCAACCAGAGCTTGACACAATGCTAGGCTACATCTTCAGCCTTCTACTCAATAATGATAACCAAACAAGTATATTACGAGTTCCAATTTTGACTAATTTTATTAATATTTATCTCATTTTGTAATTACTGTTCAGTAGGTCTATTGAACCATGGACATTCTTTGATCAAATCAAGACAAGGGGCATGGAAAACATTAAACTGTATCACTCTTAGATTTGCTACAAATAATATTTCTTAAGCCATAAAAGACGTTTTCTCTTACCCATTAGATCAACAGTTTAAACCATGTGTGTCTGGCTCCAATTCCTAAATATTTTGATTTAATTTATATGGGATACGGCCAGTTGTAATAGGGGCTTTACAAAGATCCCTAAAGTGATTTTTGTGCTCAGCAAAGTTTAGAAGCTACTGCTTTTTTGGGGGGGAGTGGAGGGAGATGGGAAGGGGAAACAAAGGAGGAGGCAACAATGCTTGATAAGAAATGTACTCATTACCTTGGCCCATGTAATTGTAACCCCTCTGTATGTTATTTTCACAATAAAAAAATAAAAAAAGAAGCTACTGTTTTAGAAGGTTTCTTTTCTTTTTCTATTTTTTGCCTGGGCGCTGTCCCTCAGCTCTTCAGCTCAAGGCTAGCGCTCTACCACTTGAGCCACAGCACCACTTCTGGCTTTTTTCTTTTTGCTATGTGGTGCTAAGGAAGCGAACCCAGGGCCTCATTCATGCAAGGCAAGCACTCTACCACTGAGCCACCTTCCCAGCCTGAAGGTTTCTTTTACAAATTATTAGGTTAAGGGAAAAAAAATGAGAAAAAAAAAAAAAGATGCCAAGTTGGTTGAAAATTTAAAAGTTCTGCTAAAATAAGCTGCTACAATTTACCAAGTCCAACTTTTAAATGTTACGCAGCCTTAATCACACTCAGTGAAGTTATGCTTCTGGTGAAATGAATTAGAAGCCAGAGAATGAAACACATGGTCCAGATGGTGCCAGTCTTCTGTCTTCCTCAACAGGTACAGAAGGCTCCAGAACAATAATGTATGTCCAGGATTTTCAGATTATAAAGTGCTTTGGAAAGGGGGAAAACTCACAGAACAATTTCCTTACATTTACACGTGGAATACGTGAGCACCGGGAACGTGACCAGCTGAGTGGTTTTAACATTCTGTTTAGTCTCTGTTATGATCATTATCGGGAGAAAAAATTGTGAGAACTGGCTTTAGGCTGCTATCAAGTTCCCTGAAGGCTGACAGACACTGCCTAAGAAGTCATCCAACAAGCTGTGTGCACACAGGCTGCCGGAGAAATAGAGGAAGTGAGGCAGGTAGGGCAGGAAGGGTCAGAGAGAAAGAGTACATAAAGCAAGCACCTGGCTCCCAGGGCCCTGAATTCAGTAGTAAGAGTGAGACTCCTTTGCTTCTGTCCTTCCAGCTTTCCCAAGCTGCAGCTTCTCTGGCAACTCTGTTTTCACTGAACATACACACACACACCCTACACACAAAGCTTTACCTCTTAGTGTTCTCCAACTTCAAAATACTCCCTGGCTTCCAGGGAAAGCCCAGCCCACCATCATCTTTTTTCCCCTAGCTTCCAGCAAAACTACCAAGTCCCATCACCAAGGCTACACAACTGAGGATCAGGTTTTCAGAACTACAGGTGTTCGATCAGCCAACAGCTTTAAACTAAAGAAAGGATTGGTGGGATTACAGTCTCACTGTTTTGGAGGACAATTTGGCAGGATCGGTTTAAAATATAAAAACGTATGTATTCCTTGGTATCTTCTCTAGAGAAATACCCAAGTACACAAAGAGATATGGTTGGGCCGGGGTGTTCACGGCAGACAATGTTTTAACAGTAGAAAATGGGAAATAAATAAACTAGGAGCTGGTGGCTCAAGTCTGTAATCCTAGCTTATCAAGAGGCTGAGATCTGGAGGATCAAGGTTCAAAGCTAGCTGGAACAGAAAAGTCTGTGAGACTCTATCTCCAAAAATAACCAGCAAAAAAGTCAGGCTGGTGGAATGGGTGAAGTTCAAGGCCCTGAGTTTGAACTCCAATAATGCCAAAAAGGAAAGGAAATGGATAAATGTGAGGCATTAGGGCTGGGGGGTAGAGGGGTTATAGTTCAGTGATATAGTGCTTACCTCTCAGTCACAGGCCTTAGGTTAAATCCACAACAACACACACACAGACACACACACGCACACACACACAGAGTTAATGCCTTATAGCGTAACTACAGGGTGGAATAGAATTTAACAGTTAAAAATGATACACTGTCTTAGAAAGATTCCCAGGAAAACTGCAGCACATATGCTATGAAAACGTGAATATTGTAAACAAAACTATATAGAACATAATACATTAATAGAAAAGTTTTGAAATGGTAGAGATAGTCTATGGAGAGGTGCAACATTTTAATAATTTCTACATTATTACAGGGGAAATGCATTCGTATATGTTTTCACAGATATGTTTTTAGAAATTGTAGACACTTGGAGTTGGATGTAGAGAGAGCTCCATACGCTATCATATAACTGTGCATAGACATTTTATTTATATAATTGTATATGTATTGGTTTATAAGTCCTACACAGAAATCCAATTTCCACTCTGGGTGCCAGTGGCTCATACCTGTAATCCTAGGTACTCAGGAGGCTGAGATCTAAGGATCATGGTTCAAAGCAGCCCAAGCAGAAAAGTCACCATGAGACTCTTATCTCTAACCAGAAGTGGTGCTGTGGCTCAAAGTGATAAAGCACTAGCCTTGAGAAAAAGGAGCTCAAGGACAGTGCCTAGGCCTTGAGTTCAAGTCCCATGACCGATGACAAAAAAAAAAAAGAATTATTTTTCCCACAACATAATATATATATAGTGTTATAAATATTGATTGCATTCAAGCAGTTCAGACTCTCCTTGACATCCTTACTGTGAGTTCTGAGCTTTGTAATGACTTGTTTTTATTGGCAAAACCTTTAGAGGCTATACATATGAACTATTAAGGATCACCCAAGACCCCCATCTAATAAGCAAGGAATTAGG